GAAATGTTTTAAATATTTGGGTAGCTTGTTAACAGATGATGGAAGGTGTATGTGTGAAATTAAATCTAGGATTGCCATGGCAAAAGCTGCATTTAGCAAGAAGAAGAATCTTTTTACCAGCAAATTGGACTTAAATTTGAGAAACTAGTGAAATGCTACACTTGGAGCATTGCTTTATATGGGGCTGAAACTTGGACACTTAGGGCAGTAGATCAGAAACACCTGGAGAGCTTCGAAATGTGGTGTTGGAGAAGGATGGAGAAGATCAGTTGGACCAATTATGTGAGAAATGAAGTAGTGTTATTTAGAGTCAGTGAGCAGAGGAATATCCTACACGAAATAAGAAAATGGAAGGCTAATTGGATTGGTCATATCTTATGCGGTAACTGCCTTCTAAAAGAATTTATTGAAGGAAAGATAGAGGGGCGGATAGAAGCGACCAGAAGACGAGGAAGAAGACATAAGAAGATGCTGGATGACCTTGGGGACAGAAGAGGATATTTTCATTTGAAGGAGAAAGCTCTAGATTGCATCAAGTGGAAGAACTGTTTTGGAAGAGACTGTGGACCTGTCATCTTGACAGATTACAGATGAATGAATGATAAAACTACAATACAGAGAACACATTTTACATCACTCTAATATGAATAGGGTGAAATCCATGGGTAAGAAATTCATGTTTAGCACTGGCAGGAATACTAGGAGGTATAACATTAGAAACAGAAATAAATATAAGAGTGATAAAATGAGTTAGAAGACAAGAAATTAAAATGATTTGAACATCTGAAAAGAAAAGGATTGCAACTCCAACTGGCAACAAGAAAGCTGACAGAAATTAGCTGCTGGATCAGGTACAAGAAGATGAAAAAGGACGGAATTGGCAAGAGTTTCTAGTTAATGAATTATACATAAGAGAGAGGACTGCTTGGTAACTGACATAAATGGATAGAGGAGGAGGAAGAAGAAACAACTGAAAATAAAAGGTCACCTTAAATTTGCGTACTGAGTGTACTGTGCTTAGATAAGATATCCGCCATAACAAACCCAAATAAATTCACGTCATATGTATATAAGAATTAGGTTAACTGTCAACACAACAAATATACTCGCTTTTAATGTTTTACAATTCAACTTTCTAATCCTGCTACATGTTTTGGTCATACAAGACTATCACTGGGCAGTTATATAGAGGAACATGTTTTGTTATTGAACTACCGATATGGATCCATACCAGTGCAATGTGTCATATTACATATTAGCAGTTAAAATTTGCCTCAAGTTGGTAAGTATTACAATTAAAATAGAAGATATTATTTTGTATCTTCTATTTTAATTGTAATACTTACAATTACAATAATTACAATTAAAATAGAAGACATTATTTTGTATCTTCTATTTTAATTGTAATACTTACAATTACAATAATTACAATTAAAATAGAAGACATTATTTTGTATCTTCTATTTTAATTGTAATACTTACAATTACAATAATTACAATTAAAATAGAAGACATTATTTTGTATCTTCTATTTTAATTGTAATACCAACTTGAGGTAAATTTTATCTGTTAGTATATAATATGACACATTGCACTGGTATGGATCCATATCGGTAGTTAAACTAATTCATACATATATCTCGAACACACAACAGGATGCAACCAATGACATGTAATATGTACTGCAAATGTCAGTACTGGCACTAGATTAAATAAATAAGTTGAAAAGATACAGACTTCTTTCTTCTTTATTCAAGAACACTGCAGCAAAGGAACTTGTGAAATCTCAAATTATAGCCTGTATTCACTAACACAAAACAATGTGACCTTGGAAAAGAGAAACCACTGCGTATATAAAAAAGAGAATTTGATTTGTTTCATTCTGGTCCATCACACTAACAATATTAAAAATGATAAAACAATTCTGTCCAGTGTGACTTGAAGCTTTTACTACTTCACTTCTTAGCACCCTAACATATTTTGGTCCCTATAGACCATCAACGGAGGGAACATCAATACTTTTAGAAACTACTATTACATTGGGTGTTTTGATTTTTAAAATACATAAATATACAATATTTGTAATATACACATTATACAAAATCCAAATTTCTTACAACTACAGCAACTGTCCTTGATGCATTAAAGTTTCTTTTTTAAAAACTTTTGTTATTTAAGTTAAAATTTCTTTAATTGAATAGGTTCATGTCCCTTGTCCTTTTGTTTTTCTTGACGGGGCTGAACCTGTGCCACCTGTCTTTTTTGGGAAGGTAGTTCTTGTTGTCGTCCTATGTTTGTTCATAGCATGCTGTGTTGTTTTTAAAACAAAACAACACAGCACGCTACGAGCAAACATCGAACAAGAACTACAACAAAACAAAACAACACAGCACACTACGAACATAGGACGACAACAAGAACTACAACAAAACAAAACAACACATCATGCTATGAACAAACATATGACAACAACAAGAACTACCTTCCCAAGAAAGACAGGCGGCACAAATTTTGCCCCATCAAGAAAAACGAAAGGACAAGGGACATGAACCTATTCGGTTAAAGAAATTTTAACTTAAATAACAAAAAGTTAAAAAAAAAAACTTTAATGCATCAAGGACAGTTGCTGTAGTTGTAAGAAATCGGGATTTTGTATAATGTGTAATTACAAATATTGTATATTTATGTATTTTAAAAATCAAAACACCCAATGTAATAGTAGTTTCTAAAAGTATTGATGTTCCCTCTGATGATGGTCTACAGGGACTGAAACATGTTAGGGTGCTAAGAAGTGAAGTAGTAAAAAAAAAGTCACACTGGACGGAACTGTTTTATCATTTGTAATAAAAAGAGAGAAATAGAAAGCTACTGATGATCACAGTTAAATATTAATCTCTATCTTTTGTGCTAAAACTATACATTTACAAATATATCTAGTCCAAACTACAAGCAATGATCATAGAAAACCCATGGCTCAATGACCACATTAAATACAAAATTTCTGTTCTTCTTCTAAAATTGTACTAACTATCCATAAGATGAGCATCATTATTATTATTATTATGTTATTTACAAATGAGGAACTATCTCAGCTTATCAGTATGAAAGTTGTATAATAAAAATACATTTCTGACTTATTCATGTTCCTAGTGGCTTGAAGTACTGTGACGTGGATGGCGTAGTGGGAGGTGGGGGTCGCGTGAACTCTGTGATCTCGCGAGTGACATCACATACCCCCACTCCGTCCACCAGTGTGCAACGCTTGGTAGACACCACTTTCCCTGCAGTGACATAATACGGTATGCCACAGTTGCTACGTAGCTGTAAACAACTCCCGGCAGCGCTGCCCAGCAACATCTTTGTAAACACGGCAGGGAGTCTGTGCAACGACTGTTCCTAGGCAGTCGGTAAACATGACATTATGCAACAGTGGTGCCTATTATGTAACTGTTTTCTGTGTTGTCCGTAACGGGGCTAAATAAGGAGCAGCGAACACTATTCAACAGTTAGTTACGAGTTAGTCAGGAAGTCAGTCAACCAGTCAGCTGTAGTAATTGTAATACTGCAGATAGCAGTGTTGTGACATTGTAAATGGTGTGATTGTAAGAGCGAGTGTGAAATAAAATTCGCTATATCCAATAAGGCGTGAAGTTATTTGTCGCGTTATACACCTAACACGTGACAGTACTGTATGTTCTATTCAGATTTCAAAAAGTATTTCATACATCTACACATGTAGTAGTAGTAGTAGTAGTAGTAGTAGTAGTAGTAGTAGTAGTAGTAGTAGTAGCAGCAGCAGCAGCAGCACTATGAATATTATTTCATTTATAATACTGTTATAGTTTAAAATTAAGGAGTCTGATGAAGAAAATGTAGATGATCTAGCTTCAAATCTCAGCTCTCATTAGAAGACTGAAAATATCCGTGCAATAAGCAATTTATGAAGTTATGCTATTTGTAATCAGCCAAAGAAAAGGAAAGAAAATCCTCAACATCACCTTCATATTATGAGAAAGATCCAACAAAACAAGAGCAAAGACTATGATACAAAGTTAAATGCTAGTTAAAAATAAGACAAAAACAATGAACTAAAAATAAGACAGACACTTTTCACACATTTCTGGCGTAACTTTGGTAGACAAAATGCTTACACCATTAGCTTAATAAATGTGGAGCCAGTTCAGCAACACTGGTTAACATCTGAAGCCTAGAGACCTAAGTTAGCAACGTATAAATGTATAAATATCACTAGGATGTGATGCTGTATAGTCTTGTGCAAGTTCATCATCACTGTGGACGAATGTATTGCCTCCATATTCTGAGATGAAGTGAGTTAAGCAGGCTTGCTGCTCACTTGATCTACTCTTACTCTACAATAGACCACTGAGGTCACGGTGCAAGGGCCAAGAGGGCCTACCTCTTGTACATTCTTTCATACTCTGATGATGGAGCCAGTATGTTCCTCTGAATTGTTAGTGGACTTCTAAAAAACTATATGGTATCACATTTCAGATCGATTCTTCATAGTCATCACCATAAGAACCTAACATCTCATATTATGAATACTTTAATATAAATGACAAATTTAAACCTGTTTTGAATTACATTTTATAGTCACTGCTTAAAAAAAAAATACAAACATTAAAAAAAGAGGTGAATCAGTCTCCAGGAGAGAAGCTGTGTGTGAAAAATGTATGTGGCAACAAAACATATGAAAAGAAGCTGAATGTCATATATACACTTCCCAGCCTACAAGACAGTAAATATGCAGACGCTTACAGGTCCAACTGAAAGTTGTTTCTTAGCCTTGACCTCTGTGTATATAATAATAATGCAGCTAGTTACTGGAGGTGAACTGTACTGCAGAAAGGCAGAAATGGCAAGAGACACCTTGAAAGAAAATTTATAGAAACAGCTACACACGACAATCCCATAACAGTATTTGGTCTTTAAAAGGTCTTCTTGTTTCTAAAATGAACAGTCAGTAGCTTTCAGTAAGCAGAAATGTGTAAATCTACAATACTGAGTGCCACCGCATGAGTAATGGTGAAATCCTAATCTACACTTGGGATGAAACAGAGGGTTTAAGAAGTTCACAGTAAATGGCTACAATTTTGAAGAACATGTTAACATGTTCTTGCACAACACACATAACTGTATACTGCAACATCTGCAATGGACAAAATAGAGTGCTTTAATCAGCTGGAAAATCATTCAAAATACAAAATCATCTGTCATGACTATCAATGACAAGTTCCTTTTATTTGAATATTACTACATATATGTATAAAATAAAAATGATTTTTACAACTGCTTTCCCATTTCTGAGCAATGGTATAAAATTATTATGAAAGAATAAGCCCTTCATATAGCATACAATTGAGTGGACTGACATCCATTCAAATGAATCACTAGGAAAATATGTGACAAATTAAAGCAAGCCCAAGAGTGAAGTAAACTAACTGAATATTAATTTTATTCAGGTGGTAAAAATGTGCTCATTACAACATTCTTTCAACAAGTAGGGTCACAGTGACATCACCCATTTCAGCATACTGGACATCAAATCTAGCCATGGTTGGAGTGCCTTCTCCATATCTGCAGTACCAACCTCCTTCAGAGCTAAACAAGAAAGATATGCTTGAGCTCCTGCTGTTTTTCAACACTTTGAAATCAGCAGGAGAGACAAGTAAACCTATATTTTTGCATCAGGATACTGGTACTCTGTGTTATACATTTATTAATTTCCATTAATTTCAATAAAGTTTCAGTTTACTGAATAGATCAAGTATTTATATTCTGATTTTTTTACATTGGGTTAAGAGCTAATTGGTATGACGGATGAAAAGTAGTAAATACTGGCAAACAATTACAATTTGACTTTTTCTAAAATTTTCCAAAAATACCAAACTTTTACATTTATTCTAGATTTTATTACAGCCCCAAATTCAAGTACACTCTTGAAACAAGGAAAATCTGAAACAAGCTTCTTCCATTAAACAAATTACAACAGATAATCTAATTTTTGATACTGCAACACTACTTGCATTCACTGTTAAACGTAAACCTGATTTCTCTTCAGGAAGGTTTGCCACCACTTGGGGTTTCTCAACTCAAAAAAGGTCAGCATTTCTGTCAGAAGACTGTCTGATATACTGCTACTGCTAGGTATCCACTTCACCAACACACTACTGACATAAAAGAAGTTGTGTCGTGACAATCGGAGCAGGCTGGAGGCAGCTGCTTCCTGCACTTCCATTGATACTGAAACAGATTTTGCTTATTAGACTAATCAAGTCCATGGTACAAGGTTTGTTTTCAGCAGTCAACTATCACTCACCCGACCAAAAGAATCATGTACTTATGGAACACTGATGTACATAATCATGCTCTGAGAAGCCTGCCACTGCATCTTACATTGATCATACTGTCACATATTTCTCTACTTACCGTATGATCCGGTCTATAAGACATGGTCTTTTTTATTTTCATTCATATATAGAACTATGTCATATTTGCAAACGAACAAAATATGCAAAAAGAAATTATTCAAACAACTTTTGAGGAAACAGATGCTTAGCAACTGTGATGTACTGCTAAACTCAAGCATCCATGATTGTTACGAAAATATTACACTGTGAACATTAAATTTCAATAAAAACTTGCAGTGAGTGACTGAATACCAAATACCAATATTACAATAATAATCTACTTACCATTTTGTTCAAGCAATATTGTGCCCAAGAGATTCAATATTGCCTGTACACATGCTTTGGCCTCTACAACTGGGAAGCATCTTGTAATGTAACCTGTAAGAAACAACACAATGTATGCTTCTCTGTTAAATAAGATGCCTTCACTGTTATGATACATACTGTCACATGTACAAGTGACTACAGACAGAGGTTGGATTGGTAACTGGATTTACTGACCATTCAACAGATCATAACTATCAGTACTTGTAAGTGCTATCACTAATTCACATACTTGGCAGTTCACTGCAGCACATACTAAGTCATCTCAGGCTGCTGTGTCTTCATCAGTCGTTGTGTGGTAATGGCTTCCAATGGTGCAAGTTCCCTTTACTCTGGGTTCCCAAATTATCCCCATGCCTCTGCTACCAGCTTCTAATAGCAACAGCTCACATTGACTGAATCACAGCAGTCCTCTCACTCACTCACTCACTAAAGAACTTGTTACACATTTCTTCTTTCAGGAGTTCTGGGCCAGCTCTAATTTCTTCTTTCAGGTGTTCTTGGCTGGCTTTCATCTCCTTTACACTGGCTTCTGTTTTTTCTTAGCTGATTCTCATTCCTTCTTTCAGGTGTTCTCAGGTAGTTCACATTTGTTCCATCTCAACAGTATGGTGATATAGCTTCTTACTGCAGTCTCCAATCCAACAACTTCTGACACCAGCTGCCACATGTAGAAGTTACTATAGATAGAGTTTTGACTGGTAATTGGATTTACTGACCACTTACAGATCATAACCAGCAGTAACTATAGAGCTATCGCTGACACGCTCAGCAGTTCACTACAGCATATACTAAGACTCCTCAGACTGCTGTGTCTTCACCAGTCGTCTCGTAATGGCTTCCAACAGTAAAGTTTCCCTTACTCTGGGTTCCTGAACTATCTCCCCGCCTCAGCTACCAGTTTCTAACAGCAACAGCTCACAACAGCAGAACCACAGCAGTCCTCTAACTCACTCACTCACCAACCAGCCCACTGTACTAACTGAAGTGAACTCAGTTCGTCACATGATATATCCTCTTAGCGGACGACATAGAAAACACCACTTCCAACAGTACTTCCATTGCTGAGTGCCAGCCACTGCTTAGCAACAGCTGCTGTCTCCTTTGTTTAACGTCCACTGCCTAGCAACAGGTCTACATGCCGCATTATGCTTTTATGACCCTGACATGAACAAATTCATCCATACACATGTATGTTTATTTATGTAATTACTTGGGCATGGAGCTGAACATTTAAAAATTCCAATACCGTTCTCTTGGTTTGTATGGTGGGCAGCAAGTGGGTGGTTTAACATGAATTCTCATTACATTGTTAATAGGTTAAGTCCTCAAATATCTGAGAACCATTTGTTTTGATGTCCAAGCATATGCATTTATATGGATACAAATGGGGGGTAAATAAAGTATGCATATGTATTTTGTGTACATAAATTTTAAAATTCCATCATGTTCTACAACCTTCTGCTGTGTGGCAAGGAAGCACGCTGACCAAAGGGCTAAATGCTATGGAAATGTTATTCAACTATCATACTGGCTACATTATGCAGGTACATTATCAACTGACAATAATGATGTACAGAGGTGTACTGGGGAGGGGGGAGGACTTGGGAAGGTTCAAACTGACTGAATAAGACTGTATGCTCGAGACAGTTCTTTCTCTTTTTCTTTCAAAACAAGGAAAAAACTTGAAAGCTGAAAATCAATTGGCAAACAAGAGCTTTAAATGTCAAGTAAAAGACTGGGATACTAAAAGAGGTCAAGATTTATTCCATGAAAAAAGGCTGTATTCATTTTAAGATTTATCTTCATTATTAAGATATTGGAGGGGTTGGAGGGCACTCTCATAACTGAGCTTAGTCTTCCATTTAAAGCTCCTGAAACCAATTCATCTTCTTGAAACATACCCATCACGATGATCACTTCTCTGATAGTGAGATCACTCACTGCATGGGCTCTCCACTCATCTACCAAAGGTATGAGGTTATGACACAGCAGCTGCCTGTAACTCGTTTCCCAGCCAATGCGTTTTGCCAGAAGAATAAGTGATGCCTCCAGCCCTTCCACATGACCATCTGTATAAAGAAAATCATTAGTCTACAAGTATCCATAATTGAGAGAGTTTCAGTTGTTAGTCATATTTAGATGCTGCTTTTATTAACAATTTGCAATATGAAAATAAAATGGCTATTAAACCGTTGTGTAAACAGTTCTGGACAGAACTCATAAAGCCTACTATTCCATTGTAGAAACTTCCAGTTCTAGAATTCCATGTTAAAGCTACATTTAGACAATAATATAATTAAATTTATCTTCTATGTTATCAGGCTGGGTGCAAGTGCAGATGATTATAGGACTGAATCCTGAGTTACGTATCTTTTAATTATTTCAACTGTATTTATAGCAGTAACCACCACAATTACTATGACCACCACAAGCACTGCTATAATCACAAAAACTATTACTATTATTGTAAGATTTGAGGCTTTCATGGCGGTGACTATGAAGAAAGCAGTCTTCTGGGATTTGGCACCGTGTATATGTGGTGTTAACCGACGTTTCGGAGGAACGTATCGCCCCCATCTTCAGGGTAGAAGAAAAAGTATAAGAAATCTGCAAGCGACAACACCGTGAGAAACGGTAAAGCAGACGCAGACTGCTATTACTACTACTATTATTGTTACAACTGTTGCTACTGCTGCTGTCACTCCCGCCGCCACCATTGTCATTACTACAACTACTTCTGGAGTGTATGGAGGTGGAAGAACCTACGATAAGCATAGACATAAAACATGAACAACCAGCAGTTTCACCTGAAAATAAATGAATAACTATAAAGAAATTTCTACATACAAAAATGTAAGGCATATGGGGACAGAACAACACTGATTTACCACTCTGCCTCAGAACTATATAACGTAGTGTACAGAGCAGTCACTGTGAGATAAGCAAATATACCAGACTTGTTACCAAATAATGCACTTTGCAAACAAAACAAGTTTCCATGAAAACGATTTGAGCAATATTTCCACAGCAATAAATCGACACACAACAACTGCGCTACTGTTGGAAATGGTGTTTTCTATGGTAGTCCGTGCTGAGGAATTACAGGCTGGATAGAGTGAAGAAACCTTTGTTTCTACAGCTAGTATGAACTGAAACATTATCAGTTTGTTTGTGCGTATTGCATCTTTGTAAATATAGTGTTTTACTTGCACAGCGGGTGGAAACAATAAAGTCATAATAACAGTAGTGATATCAGTGCTGGAGCTTTTGCACACTGACAGCTGAATATTCTGTATAATTATTTTCTATTAAAAGTTATTTTCTTCTGATGCCGGAAGCAGCGTCATTAGCAGCAACTTGAAGCACAGAGCAAATGATGCTCGAGATGGTTCAAGTTCGTATAGCAACAGGCGTGACCAGAGTGGTTTGAACGGCTGTTGTACTGCGATGTCGAAAGAAAATGGAAAAACTACCATATCATCACTTTTCCTGGATAGTCTCTTTCCAAAAACAGAGATACCATGTATGCAAGATCCAGAAGACGAGGAAGAAGACATAAGGAGATGTTGGATGACCTTGGGGACAGAAGAGGATATTTTTATTTGAGGGAGAAAGCTCTAGATCGCATTAAGTGGAGGAACTGTTTTGGAAGAGACTGTGGACCTGTCATCTGACAGATTACTGATGAATGAATGAATGAAGACTGAGAATCAAATATTATGCAAATACATTATACATTCTGAGAGCGTTCTTCAAGAAGTAGCTTTGTTCACCATCATTATAACAACCAAACATAGAAACATTTTTCTCACATATTCATTTAGGGCATTTTTGTAGTAATATATCTGTCCTGTAGTACTAATACTGAATGAAAAATTAATATTTTTTCAAGTTACTTACAAAAATTATTTAAGCTAAAAGATATGTGACCAATGAATTCAGTTCTAAAATTTTATCCAAATGAATCTGACAACAGAAGAAACCGATAGCCTGAAAAATATGGCAGAGGAAAGACTAACAAATGTTGTATGATTATTTTTTTGAAGATCTATTTCCATAGTTCAATTCAGAATCCTATATAAAGACATATCAGCATTGCCCCATATTCATATGCTTGCTATGTTGTTATTAATGACTGCAAGAAACTAAAATATATGAGGTTGGGGCAGGCTCCAATGACACACTGTTCATACCTAATTCTGTAAAAATTGGTCGTTTGGTTCAGAGATTAAAAGGGACACAACAGCAAGGTGATTTCGTTAAGCTATCAAGCTAGTCCACTAAAAATATTGATCAAACTATCTCCAGTGCATGCTTATTTTATGGGAACATGTGTTTCATAGAGAATGATACAGATGGATGAGATTTAAGCAATCATTTGAGCTATTTCTGAGAAAATTCCTTTTCAATTTTCGTATAAAGTGCTCTAAGTTTTATTTATTTACTTTTTAAATATGAGGTCTGTGTTGAAACGTGAAAAGGTCTTGAAGACCGAAATTTGGTTCTTGGGTGGGAAGTACCAACTCAAAGAGACTATCACAAATATATCAAATGAATATGTAAATATATTAACCTTTATCCTATGGGCATTTAAATTCCTCTATGGGCAGCGGTACGGAATTAATTTAAATACCCGCGATTAGAAATCCGTAAAAACTGTAGTCACTTACTAAATTTGCTCCTATTTCTGCAATTTCTGTGATAAACGAACGAAATAAACGCTGTTTTTTTCTCAAAAGAATATAGAATCAGATATTGTAATTTACAGATTGTATAAAACATGTTAAAATTTTTGCACTGACTCCAAAGAAGAAATTTCCTAATTCTTTGTTTCCCTAGAAGAATTCATACGTTCTGGATACCCCTGAATGCAAGCTGGCGTATGACGACACTGGGCAACACCGCTAATGTAATGTCTAGCGAGTTATCTCTGTATAAATTACGTACCTCGTTCGGAATGTGGATGTGGGCGAATGAAAATAAACTCAGTGTCTTACTTGGCTCTCAGCTGCTGTATAACGTTCCTACTGTTCTAATATATATAGATCAATGCTAGCTTTGTTTATGAAATTGCGTTTGTAGCATCAACAGAGAGATAATACAGCTTCATTCCTGGAATTGTTCAGCCGAAGTTTGATAGTACATGGCGTAGTGTCGTGTGGAATATTCTATCAACGACTCGGTACGAGACTGATGTTGAAGGTAGCGAATCAGAAAGTTATTTCGAAGGAGACCCCATCATAATCTTCGTCGGCAACCTGGGGACCACCACACCAGCGTGGCACGAGGAGTGTGAATAATTATTCAGGTGGAGCTGTGGGCAAACTGTGGCAAACAGTTATAGCATCTGTTGTCGAACCTGGAAATGGACAAATAAGCTATTTTTCCATCTCCTTGATCTGAACAGTTACATCCTGTTGTCACACAGAGAATTTCGTCTCGCTCTTGTGCAGAACATGCTGGAAGGGGTCCACCTCGCCATCAACGGCCAGGGGTCGAACCCCTGCCGTTTTATGGGAGATATCTCGATTATAGAAGGCCAAACCACATCACTGGCCGACTTCCTCTACTTCGCAATTGAGGTGTCGTGTGTGCTTTTCGCGTGGGAAACGAAAGACCGTCCGGACAAAGTGCGTGAAGTGCGAAATCGGACTCTGCATTTCCGGATTTTTTTTAGAATTCCACACGAAGGCAACATTCCAGCAGATGACGCAGGTGGGAAGACAGACACTCCATGCAGATGGTGGCCAAAAATTATATAAGTAGGACATTATTTTCTACCTTAAAAATGTATTTCAAATAACGTCCGCACGCGCGGACTGTGCGACCCCATATGGCGTCATTCGTACCGCTGCCTTTATTTTTGCGACGACATACGTTGTCTTTAGTCGTTTAAAGGTTAAATAACAAATACAAATACAACCTAAGTACCTGGAGGTAATAAGTCTCCGACAATCACAATCATACCGACCAGAAAAGGTGAATTGACTGCACAGTTCAGGGTCCCACAACAGAATGGATCACTCGCGTTGGGCCTCAGCCGACAGGAACCAGGAAGTGGAACATTGGAAGGGGTAAGTAGTAAGGAAGGGGGTGGGGGGACGCCCTCTGACGTAACGTAGACCCAGCGTTACAGTGTCCACATAAATGTCAAAATTTAAGAATTATAAAAATACTTTTCATACTCAAGAATATGAAGACACATTTATCTATTAAAAATCTAGAAATTAAAATTATAGTTGTCTTATTCCTTTGATTAGTTACAAACCTGAATTCCTTAACTGGTCCATCAGCAGCTGTATCAGCTGTTCAGTTGTCAGTGCCCACTGACGATAACCATAGCGTGTCTGCAGAAGGTTTTTGAGAGCTTCAATTTTGTAGTCTGACAGGTTCTGTTCTGTCCTTTGCATTAGAGTGAGAGAGCTCATCGTCATTATCAACAAAATGTCTGAAATAAAAAGGACATAACACATGGGAACCAAAAAGCTTTAATTAATTTACTGGTTAATTACTTATACTATATGATCTGCATACATTACTTAAGGACCTATCAATGGTGAACTGGGATAGATGTGGAAGGAAGTGGTGATGCGATCACAGTTTCTGATAGCCTAATCTTTTTGTAACAATTTCAAGAGGAACAGTTCTTGACACTTCTGGACATTGTTGAAGTTCATCGATGGCTAAACATCTGTCAGCACGAATGTTTTCATCACTTTTTTGGATAATTTCATCAGTGACAATGGTCTTCCACTCCTTATTTCATCATGAACATCAAATTCACGATACCATTTTGTCATGTTCAGTCTTTTCATAACATCTTTGTGGTAAACAGAAACAAGTTGGTGATGAATTTCAGCAGCAATTACTCCTTTTGCATGAAGAAATCGAATCACTGCATGAACCTCACATTTGACGGGATTTTGAATCAACATGGCCAATATAAACACATACTGCAAGCAAAACGTTGCCATGACTGTGTCCGCTAGAACTCCACCCTGTCATATGGTTCCTATCTCACATGGCAGCACTGCCATAAAAAAATTCCCTTGCATTTTTACTGAACTTGTATCTTTACTTTCTGAATATCCCTCACACATATTTCAGGCTACCTAACGCTGTTATCCCCATGCACCTTCTCTAGCCAAGAGATGTAATTCTTCCATCCATTCAAAATATTGTGGAAATCTGCAAGCAGATCACCAAGCTGATTCTAGATTGGCACCCCTTCTGATATACATTTACATTTCTATACAAGCCTATAATATTTTGTTGTTTTTTCTAAGCTCATGAACTCTGTCTTCAAAATATTCCATTTTTGATTCTGACATATCTTGCTTCATGTTTTACTTCCAGATTGTTTCCATCCATTTAGTTCTCATTCTGTAACAAACACAATTTATCCTGCTTCCTTTGCTCTAACAACCTGAGTAATCTATGTCAATCCATGACTTATACTGCTTTAATCTGTAAATATCTAGACTCTCCTATGTTACATGACCTTCTGAACATTTTACTCATAATATGGAGGTATACAAGTAATTCTTTTTTGGCTAAAATTGTTTTACACACCAAAATATTTGAGAAGATCTGTGAATTAACTATTTCATCCAATGCAACTTTCCTTACCTTTTCCCACACAAGCATGTGGCAGAGCATCTGGATATGTAGTGTATACAGTGAACAGCAGAGGGAATGCCTTGAAGTTAAGGCAGTACATGGCATCATAGCAAAATGTGAGTACACGCCGTCTGTCTCTCTGTACCAGGCACACTGCTGCATAGAATCTGGCCAGTGAACATGCCCGCACAATCTAGTGACAAGGACAGAAATTACAGCTGCAGTGCACAAGTCTTACTAGTACACACTTTAGCCTCATGTTGTTTGTTTCACATTTTCTTTGACAATGCCTTATTAACTGTGTACAAACAACAATACATTGAATGGTACGATGAAGTGCAATGTGAATGGAAGGAAGTAGTTACATCCCATTTTTAAATACTAGTCCATGATCTGTCAACAGAGACTGGGAGAATCCATGAAAATCCATGAAACAAATTAAAAAGTTTAAGAGGTCTGATCAAGTGTGTACTGATCACGAGACAAGGTTTAAAGAATGATGTATAGTTTTGGTTTCTAATTATGCATCATTTACTTAATACTAACATCTGGTGCATGTCCAAGCCTAAACAGCTGATATTCTATGCCCAACAAGATGGTTTCCAATAAATCCTTGTACTGTTGGTGTTGTGACTGCAATGTGAACGCCAATGTCACCAGGCATTGCTGTGTTGGCGTCAGTGGAGGGATGTTGCGTTTGTTTGAGTAATCCAACTGGGCCTTAATATCATCACCCACAAACTTTACTATGAGCCTGAAATCAGCATAATCACACAAGAAAAAACTTTTAATGGAAATACAGAGAACTGCAACGAACATAATGCAACACAGACAAGATAAATTCCACGAAGTTGTAATGTTGCTAGTATTAAAGTATGGAAGTGAATTTTGGGCATTTAGAACAAATGATTTAAGGACATCACAGTCAGCAGGATTGAAACACAAGTAATAAAGGGTTACATCCTCAAACTATGTCATATTAAAAATTGAGATATTACTAATTAAAAGTGCAGTTGGTTAATTGTAAACTAGATGACTATAAATAAAAATGGACCATACAGGAAAATGAGATAAATTATGAAATAATTCATACAGTGCTAAGTGACAGTCCCTCATGAGACCGCAGGAAAAAAAGGAATACATACCATACTGAAAGACAGAAAAGAGTGAGTCCAGTCTTTGATGGTTGTGTCTGATAGATCCCGTTAATCATTGGATGGCCTTCATACATATTTTCACATCTAGGACAAGAAATAAATGAAATGGGAAAGGAATACAGGAGATGGAAAGTTCGTAAGAGACTTCCTCCTGAATTTTTCAACAGGCTCTTCCAATAGTATGATAAAATTATACATATATTCAGCAGAGAGAGATAGGGGGTGGGAGGAAGGTAGAAGGAGACACACTGACAAGACAAAATACACTCACATAACACTAAAAGTTCATCCACACAACTCTAAGCATCTGTGGAATGTTACTAGTCATTTATGTGCCTGTGTGGAAAAGCTCCATTTAAATCAGTGGTTTACTAAGATGAACCCCAAATCCTCATGCAAAAGGTGACTAAATAACAAGTGGTGAAGCCTACACATTTCTTTGAAACTGATGTTTCATTAATAAGATGGTCGTGAGAGCTATTCCTGGTTTACTCAATTGAACAAACACACAAAATGCTGTTTTTATAACAATAAGAATTTCGCTTTCTAGATTATTATTGCAATTATTATTATTATTATTATTATTGCTCATGCTAACCTTGTAATTGGCCTCTGCTGTTAAGTTGCACGTAAATAAACATGAATTGAATTAGGATGTTGAGATGCCACACAAATAAATAAGAATTAATTGGGTTATTATTATTATTAACTTCTATGTGTGTATGTATGTGTATTGTCCTTTCTCACCACATAATGGAATAACCATTCTAAACGTGCCTATTTTATTCTTCTCACCTGTTAATGCTAACTTCAATTTTTCTTTTCTTGGAATTATTATTAATTTATTGCCATTACACAGACTGTCTTATTTGTATTTTGTTTTTCAGATATTTCTGTATTTCTATGTACTCATTCCAACTTTGTTATTGGCCTCTGTGCTGTTAAGTTTGCACGTAAATAAACACAAATTGAACTGAATTATTGTTGTTGTCATTGTTGTTGATATTGCTGATGTCATTAAATACAACAGAACTCTTTTGCTGCAACATCTTCTCACACAATTTGTCTAGCATGCTCCGAAATTCTGCCAAGAGTCTTAATTTTCCTGTGTTGTCATGACATTATGAAGGGTGTGCTGCTACAGAATAGCTAGTAACAGTTTTGTAATGTGTACAAGTGGAAAAGTGCCAGAAGCAGAAAATACAGATTATTTTGAATGTGTTTGACCATATTAAAAGCAATAACACAAAATTATATACATTGGAACTTAAATGACATTGCTGAAGATACAGTCACTTCAAGTATTTCAGTTTGCATATTCAGGATATCTCCTCTTCACATAAGAGCAAAGCTATCATCACGAGAGGACAGGTAAGATTAGATGGGTCTGTATCAAAATGTACATAGGTCGTACTGAAAGTCATGAGCAACTTTTTTTTGCATGCAACCTGGGAACAGCAGACAAAAGAGAGTATGGTGGTAGGCGGAACCAGCTGTTGTGTTAACCTTGAGTGTCTTGTGACATCAATTGCTTGCATCACGTGACCAGTATCACTCCCAACAAAATGGCCAACAACGATATGTCGTTTCGCCAGCGTGCTGTCATCAAATTTCTTGTGAAAGAGGAAATCCCTGCTGCAGAAATTCACCAGAGACTTCAGCATGCTTATGGAAGTGTGTGCATGGGTGTGAGCAGTGTTCAAAGATGGGTGAAACATTTTAAAGATAGGAACACCAGCATCGAAGATGAGCCTCAGAGCAGTCATCCTTGAACAGCCTCAAATGAACGCAACAAGGAAAGAGTGGATGAGATCATTCAAGATGACAGGCATGTGACTGTGGACACAACAGCCCGAAAATTTGGAATAGGGCAGAGTGCAGTACAGGAGATGATTGAAAGCTTGGGCTATAGGAAAGTTTGTGCTCTTTGGGTCCCGTGGTTATTGACCGAAGACCACAAAAGTCAGCGAAAAGCCATTATCTCAGAAATGCTGCAGAGATATCAACATGAAGGTGATGGTTTTTTGCTCTGTATTATGACAGGTGCGAAAGCTGGTTTCACCATTTCGAACCTGAAACGAAACAGCAGAGTATGGAATGGCACCATTTGCATTCTCCATNATGAGATCATTCAAGATGACAGGCATGTGACTGTGGACACAACAGCCCGAAAATTTGGAATAGGGCAGAGTGCAGTACAGGAGATGATTGAAAGCTTGGGCTATAGGAAAGTTTGTGCTCTTTGGGTCCCGTGGTTATTGACCGAAGACCACAAAAGTCAGCGAAAAGCCATTATCTCAGAAATGCTGCAGAGATATCAACATGAAGGTGATGGTTTTTTGCTCTGTATTGTGACAGGTGCGAAAGCTGGTTTCACCATTTTGAACCTGAAACGAAACAGCAGAGTATGGAATGGCACCATTTGCATTCTCCATAAAAAAAGAAGGCAAAGACAGCGCCATTAGCTGCGAAGGTGATGGGCACAGTCATCTGGGATGCAGAGGGGTTTATTCTGGCCAAATTCCTGGAACTTGGGCAAACTATCAATGCTGCTTGTTATGTCCAGACGCCGCACAGGCTCTGTTGTGCATTGTGTGATAAACGTCCGGGACGAAACATCATCAACCTGCACGACAACGCTCGTCCCCATGCCTCTTGCCTCACATTGGAAGCAATTGCAAAGATGGGGTGGGAAGTTCTTACACACCCCTCCTATAGCCCTGATCTGGCACCCTCTGACTACCATCTTTTCGGATTTGTGAACAATCAGCTGCGTGGACAATGTTTTGAGACAAGGGAGGCAATTCAGAAAGCAGTGCGTCAGTGTCTTTGGATGGCTGGAACGAAATTTTACAGAAGGGGAATTTTCAAACCCCCAGAATGCTGTTAGAAATGTGTACAAAGAAGTGGCAATTATGTGGAAAAATGAAGAAAGGTCTGTAGATTGAGGTGGTTTATTTGGTTTTTCAAAAATAAAGCATGTTACTTTACAAAAAATTGTTACTCGTGACTTTCAATATGACCCTCGTATTTACATGCTGGCTGCATGTTTAACTTGTAGTCTGCATCCTGAGCAGCCTGCATTGTGTAAGCATTTTTCTTGAAGGGGGGGGTAAAGCATATTTTTGGCCACTCTTATAAGGCTTTCCCAGAATCTCCAACTTAATCATAGCTACTGTTTTGAATTACAGTTTTAAATAACATTTATAGCCTAAAAAAGGGACAGAATTATTAATGGGTTAATGAAAACACAGCTGTCACAAACTTCTTATATGTAAATATAATGGCATCATCGCTACATGAAGCAGTTTCCAACTTGCATTAATATCTTCCTTGAACTTTGTGAACAAAGTAAATGTGTGTTCTTGCTTCTAAAGCGAGATAAAATCTGACCTTCTGTTTTGTGTTACAGGAGATAAAACATGATCAGCTGTTTCATATGGTGAACACCAGTGCAACAGAAATGGGTGTGGGGTGCCAAAGCCTTGTAAAGTAAAGCTATCCCTGTACCAGGCTGTGAAGGCCCATAGGGTTGTGAGACGTTGTGGGTCTCACATTATCCAGACAATTGGCTCAAAGATGGCGGTAAGGTTGTCAGCCTTACGCGCCGGCCGCGCTTTACTCCCCAGGAAAATTATTTATTTAATTCCTGGTACTCAGTTCTGTTAAGAGGCTGAGTCGACCCCAGGGCCATAGTGAGGCTGGAAGGAATAGGTCCATTGAAAAAATCCAGTGACCTCAACGGGACTTGAACCTGCGACCTTCCGGCTTGTAGCATAGCCCCTCAACCAACTACGTTACTGCGTGCCCCTGCAAAAGCCTTGTAATCATGCAATTCTGTATGCTTACAGTGCAGACTTGATAAGAATTCCCTTACTGATTTTAAACTCAGACTTACTTTGCTACAACCACTGATGCAGACTGAGAGTTGAAGCAGCTAAATTTCTGTAGAACCTCATGAAGCTTTTCATTAGTGAAGCGTGATGATAACAGTCGTTTTAGCTCTTTTTGTGATACTACTTTCTCTTGTTGCTTCATTTCATTAGCCATCTTGTCTTCTGGAAGACAGAGATATATAATTTATTCAATTTTGTATTCACAGAAACTTCTCGAGAATTAATAGCACAATGATGGAATAAACAGACTTCAAGAAGAACAATGTTAAACATGCAAGTGTGCATTACCTTACACAAACAACACAAAAGAGAAAAATGTGGAGCACTGAAATCTTTCATACAAGCACTGTATGAAGCTGTCATAATTTACAAACTTCATGTCACAGGGTATTTCTTCAATAATTCTTAGCTATTCAGCTGATCGAAAAGTTCCCTTGTATTTTAAGTTCCATTAAAAATGTGGAGTTATTTTACATTCGCAAATGAACAAAAGGTGTAAAAATCAAACATGTATTAATAATTTCTGGAAAGATACCCTGAAACCTGTGTACCCACAAACATAAACATGGTTTTAAAACAATACTGGGTAATCATTCGATTTTCATTACCGCTACTGTCATATTCGTATCACAGTTGTCAGTCATATTTTGAAATCATAATATTATAATTAGATTCTCTGCCATCAAGGTACATTTTTAAGGATATAATATCCATCAAATGGTTTTCCATCATTTGTTTCTGTCTGACAAACAGAGAATGATATTGAGACAGAATGCTGACTTTGGAAATATTCACATTTCATCTATGGACATGCACTTGCTGCACACCAAATTAACCCCACAGAGCAGAGCCTGTCTTGAGAATTTAACAGTTATTCAAGTCACAAAATCCCGAGTACTTTCTGGAAACCAAAGGTTCAACACCACGTCCAGAAGAGCCTGTTACAGCTGCCAAATGTCACTAGTTCATAATGTGCAGCTATCCTTTGTGGTGACTGTTAAGAATGATTTAAGAGACACAGTATATATGTGTATGTAGGTTGTACTGAGTCATGAGCAACAATTTTTTGTAAAGTAACATGCTTTATTATTGACAAACCAAATACACCACCTCAATCTACAAACCTTTCTTTATTTTTCCACATAATCGCCACTTCTTTGTACACATTTCTCCCAGCATTCTGGGAGTCTGAAAATTCCCTTTCTGTAAATTTCCGTTCCAGCCATCCGAAGACACTGAACCACAGCTTTCTGAATTCAGAGTGCTTATGGAAGTGTGTGCATGGGTGTGAGCAGTGTTTGAAGATGGGTGAAACATTTTAAAGATGGGAGCACCAGCATTGAAGATGAGCCTCAGAGTGGTCGTCCTCGAACAGCCTCAACTGAATGCAACAAGGAAAGAGTGGATGAGATCATTCAAGATGACATGCATGTGACTGTGGACACAATAGCCCGAAAACTTGGAATAGGGCACTGTGCAGTACAGGAGATGATTGAAAGCTTGGGCTATGGTAAAGTTTGTGCTCTTTGGGTCCCGCGGTTATTGACCGAAGACCACAAAGGTCACATTGGAAGCAACTGCAAAGATGGGGTGGGAAGTTCTTCCACACCCCTCCTATAGCCCTGATCTGGCACCCTCTGACTACCATCTTTTTGGATTTGTGAAGGATCAGCTGTGTGGAGAATGTTTTGAAACAAGGGAGGCAATTCAGAAAGCTGTGTGTCAGTGTCTTCGGATGGCTGGAACAGAATTTTACAGAAGGGGAATTTTCAGACTCCCAGAACACTGGGAGAAATGTGTACAAAGAAGTGGCGATTATGTGGAAAAATAAAGAAAGGTCTGTAGACTGAGGGGGTGTATTTGGTTTGTCAATAATAAATCATGTTACTTTACAAAAAAGTGTTGCTCATGACTTTCAGTACGACCCTCGTAGCATTAGTACCAACATTCAATATTTACATGTAATTGATATTATAAGTTTTCAAACATTTAACTTTTGAAATGTTTGTTGTTTTGGTGTCTATTAAACAAAAGTTTAATAAATTATAGAGTATTAACATGATTTAAATGAGTGAATTAAAGGAATAAATAAATTCTGCAACATAGTTTTATGTGTGTTGTATTTCTCAATGTATTTATTTCTGTCAACACAACTTCTGTATAGATACACTATATGTTAATTATCTACTACATGTTCGGCCTTTCAGCCATCATCAAGTACACACATATTCACTACTGGCTCCACTACTCACCCTTTACATTGGCCATTGTTTATAATGGGTACATTTTGTGTTAATGGTTTGATATACTGGGGTGTAATGCTACCATATATGTCCTCCTTAAAATGCTTACTATTAAATTGTTAATAGTTTTAGAATGTTGTTTAATGCTAATCGAATGCGTGGTTAGAAGACTTTATGTGATAGTGTGCGATAACTGAAAAGTCGGCCAGTGAAGACTTATTGTGTGACTTCAAGACTTTATGTGTGCTGTAGTAAAGTTATATTGGGAGTGTGTAATTCAGAAAGATTTGTATAGCTCCCGCATTATAAATATGTGAAGACTACTGAAGATAAACTGTGAAGAGATTAGTGTGTAGGGTTTGTAAACTGTGTAAACCTGTAACAGTGTCATAATTAATTGTAGTTATGACTTGTAGGTTGTTAAACAAACCAATTAACAATCTGAACGGCGTCTTCAGTAGCCAAACACATTACAGTATTTTATTACAGAAGTAAATCAACAGCAACATAATAATACATAAAACATCCTGCCACCCCAACACAAAATATCAGCTACTAGCTTGTATGATCAACAGACTGAACACATATACGATGAGTCAAAAGAATAAGCACATGGAAACAAATACAATAAAATATATATTATAACAAAACCACTACCAAATAAACAAATTAACAAGACACATACTATACAATAACATTACAAAGAGCCAATAACACAATGACAAAAATACCCAAAATAAGAAACAGATTATGTTTATGTATTTTGGATATGAAACAAATCACAAAAACATTTTAGGTCACTGACATCAAAATAGACCTTAGAACAATGTCATACAAAAACACCTGCAACAGAAATACCCATCATCCACCACCAGAACACAAAATGAAACAACCAGAAAGAATTCCACCATTACAAACACAAAAATAAACAATAAAAAACAAGATGCCAAGATAAGAACAAATGCTCACATAAAAACTTAGTTAAAAATGATACCCAGTACATATGCAATAACAACATAGTTCACATTTCAGACCATAAGAAAAAATAATTCCACATCCAAACACAGATAATCAACAATGAAAAACATGATGACAACCTGCACAACATTGTAAGTACAGGGTGGGGTGCAGAAACTTCCTTTTTTGAAAGCGAATAAAAGAAAAATTATTGCTGATAGACAAAATTTATGTTTAGCTAATGAAAGAACATACTTTAAAGTTTTAAATCATGTAGGTTTAAACAAAATATCTTGAAGGTGGTGGCCACCATTCTCTATGCACTGATGCAACCGTTTTCTGAAGTTCCCCTCTGCACGTGCCAACATTTGCACCGGAATTTGGGCTACTTCCTGCCGAATAACATTCTTCAGCTGAAGCAGGTTTGTGGGGCAATATTTAAAAACCTCTGCCTTGAGGTATCCCCACAAAAAAATATCACAGGGCGTTAGATCAGGTGAGTGCGCTGCCCATAGGATGTCACCCCAAAGCGAGATGAGCTGTCTGGGGAACTTTGCCCCCAAAACTGTCATCGAAGCTCGGGCTGTGTGGGCCGTGGCATCATCCTGTTGGAACCAGACATTTCCTAGATGCATTTCTTCAAGAGTTGGTTCGAAAAAGTTTTTAATCATGTTAACAAACTGCTGTGAATTGACAGTAACTGCATGAGTGTCTTCGTAAAAAAAATAAGGGCCCATAACTCCAACTCTCACAATGCACACCATACTGTCACCTTATCACTGTGAAGTGGCCTCTCATTGAGCTCTCTGGGATTGTTACCACTCCAACAGTGCATATTCTGCTTGTTGACATATCTGGATAGGTGAAAATGTGCCTCATCACTAAAGAAAACAAGTGCGTCAAGGGGTAAAGTTTCCAATAACGTTTCGCATGCTGTTATTCGGTTCTGGAAATCACGTGGTGACAATTCTTGCACAACAACCATCTTATAGGGATGGAAATGAAGATGTTCGTGAAGAATTCGGCACATTGAACGACTAGATATGTTTAGGGCAACTGCATGTTTGCGAGCGGAGCGTCTTGGAAATCTCAAAATCGACTGTTGAACTACCTCCACATTTTCTGGCATCGTAACGGTCCATTATCATCCTAATGATTTTTTCACAACACTCCTGGTTGTCCTAAAGTTCTCTACCCACAAAACAATCGATTTCCGGTGGGGAACCGGACCTCTGGGCTTAATTCCGAAGTGAGTACAGAACGCACGCTGCACCGCCACGTAGGAATGGTTGTTCAAAAAATAGGCTTTGACAGAAAACGCACGCTGCTCACTCGTCCACCTCATGTTGCCTACTGAGGGGTACTAGACAGAAACTTCCGCGACTGCTGCATTCACTGAGCCTAGCCCCACTTTTCTGCAACCTCCCCTCCCTTCATAATGTGTCTTCACAAAAAGGAAGTTTCTGCGCCCCACTCTGTACATGCAAGCCATCTGTGAAAACCTATATCTGCATCATAAAAACGTAAAAAATAACATAAAATAAAATAAATATATCTAAGGAAAAAACATTTATAATAAAAGAACTTTGGAATTTGGAAAAAAAATTTAAGATTTTAACAATTTAACCTTTTAACAAGGACGTATATGGTAGCATTACACCCCAGCAAAGGCCGAAACGTGCAGTAAATAATTAACATGTAGCGTATCTACTATATAGAAGCTGTGCTGACAGAAATAAATAGGTAATAAATGTTTCAGATTCCTCCATTCTCACACAGTGAGTTTTAAATTGATGGTTACCTGGCACAATGACAAGACTAATAATTGAGTGACATACAGGAAATACAGCATTTCTGAGCCCTACTTGTGGTAATGTGAGAAAGATAAAAGACAAGTACTAAACAAAAGTTCAACCACAAAAATATTCTGTGGATCCAAAATGAGTCACTACAGAAGCAGGAAGAAGGGTAAAGTTTGCAATTTTTTTTTCTTTCTGAATAAATATTGAAATTACATTTCCTCAAAATGTGCCACTAAAAAGGGTATTGTCAGCTAAATTTCTAGGGGAGAAAGAAATCAGGTTCCAAAATCAATGAAATTATGTGCTTTCTGAATTTAATCTGATTTTAATTTTGAGATGATTATCACTTAATACTAACCTTTATCCTTAAGCTGAACCATCATTGTTTTGGATTTCTTTGGATGATTCTTTTTATACTTAACTTCATAATCCTTCAGAACCCATTGGAGTACACAGCCTGCAAACAGTTTCTCATCTGTGTTTTTAGTTATTGTAGTTTTCATCACAGTTATATGATTGCCAGTTTGCTTGTGCATCAAACTTCCTGTCAGCTTCCCTGGTGAGTCAACGCTCAATTCAGTGACTGGCAGCTCAGCAATCTGTATTGTATCCTGCGTGCTTACCAATGATTCAATGACTTTTGAGTTCAGCTGAGGCTCACCCATCTCAGGGTCTTCGATGGGTGAAACTGGACAGGGCACTGATGATTCAATGACTTTTGAGTTCAGCTGAGGTTCACACATCTCAGGGTCTTCAATGGGTGAAACTGGACAGGGCACTGATTCCTGATAAAACTTAGGACATATTATATCCTCTAATTCACGTATTTTAGACACTGTGGCAGGTGATTCAACGTCCCTAGCATTCATTCCTGCGTGACATGTCTCAGAAGACATATTCTGTGAACAAACTTCTGACACAGTTTCTAGTCTGCTGCTTGTTTCACTGTATATGTGTGGTACAGTGACAAGTCCCACAGTTTCAGAAATTTGACTTGCTTCAGGCATATTTTGTTTATAACTGATTGGAAGTTCTAATACTTTGACAGTTTTAGGAGCCTCATCTGTTAAATATGAATTTGTTTGGATTTCTGATATAGATACAGGACTTACAGTTTCTGTAACATAACTGCTCAGAGTAATTATGTCCTCAAAGCAGCCTGGAATTTCTGCATCAGGAACAATGTCTTTATAATTGATTGGAAGTTCTAATACTTTGACAGTTTTAGGAGCCTCATCTGTTAAATATGAATTTGTTTGGATTTCTGATATAGATACAGGACTTACAGTTTCTGTAACATAACTGCTCAGAGTAATTCTATCCTGAAAGCAGCCTGGAATTTCTGCATTAGGAACAGCATTTTTTGATGCAAAGCTCTTTGACATATCTACTGCATGATTAGTTTCAGTGTGTATTTCTTTTCTTGTATCTGGTTCTTTGGCTACATTAGTACTGGAACATATTTGACCAGTTACTGAGTTGCAAGTAACGGGGTGATCAACAACAGAGTTATCACAATTTTTATGATTTACAAACAAATTCACGTCATTATGTGTTGTGGTGTCATGCTTTGCAGATGGTTTATTGTCCAGAAGCAGCGGTGGTATGCTTTGATGTGATGGTCTGTAGGATAAGTTACTAACATTGGAAATTGAATTTGATGTTTCATCTTCCCCCGTCTTTTCCGAGAGGCTCTTTATTCCTGGTCTGTTGGACTCTGAACCCACACAATTGACTTTAGACCTTGGTGTAAGAGTCTTTCTGCATTTTACAGTTTTTACTGGTAACTGAGTTGCTATCTTTGATGGCATTTTAGCTCTGGTGATTTTTCTCCTCAACTTTTCCAACTTGCTTAGTTTTCCTCGTGGACCAGCATCTCGGGAAGCATTAGATTTGCCTGCTGATTGTCCTGTTTTATGGGCACTTACTTGATGTTCTGGCATCACACAGCTTTCATTTACTGCAGACATTTTATTTTCTTGATTTGAATGTGTCTGCTCTCCAGATGACATGGAGATTCTTGTGGGAACTTCACAAGTTCTCGTAATATGTTTCTTAGAATTTGATTCTGATACAGAATGCAACAATATGTTTGATACTGTTTCAGAATTCTTGCTGGTCATTGAGTCATTATTTTTCTCGCTTATAAAATATGTTTTTGCTCTCTTAGACTTTAGTGTTTCAAAACTTGCACAATCCATACTACTGCTTTCAACCTGACTAGCAGACGTACTGGGAGCCCTTCTCTTGCGTCTGTTTGCTGAACTGCCAGACACCTTCCCTGGATGAACAGTCTGCAGCTCTGCTGTTCTGACACTCTGCTGCTCCTCATCCAAGCTGATATCTGATACACTGCCAAACAATTCTGTGCATGATAAATGTTTATGCGTATCTTCCTCTGTTCCAGCCTCTGTCTTCTGTTGAACATTAATCTGCAAAATAGTTGGTATCTCTGTGCTGCAGGATACAGCTTCAAAATTTTTCATTGAGTCAATTGCATCTGGCTGATCAATGTCAAATTTACGGCATGCTTCAAAGGCAGACGTACCACTTTCATCAGTATGCTCATTCAACTGTCCACACACCACATTTTTTGACCTGTGTTTCAGTTTGGGCACTGGAAACTTCTTGTGTAGCATTTTTTCTGATACACATTTTCTAAGACCTTTCTTGTGGTCATGTTTATTTTTTCTTCTCTGGACCCTAGAAAATATACTGTTGTGCTGTTGATTATCTGGCTGTAAGTGATTTTCTTTCAGGTATCTACTTCTCTTTCTTGACCTTGCAGTCCTGTATTTTCTTTCCTCATCCATACTAATCTGACAATACCTGCCATTAATCTGAGCAACTTTTCTTCTTTTCCATAATCGTTTCACTGCCATTTTCCTTCCTGGTCCTGCATCTACAGAGATATCCTGCTTTTCTGCATAAATTCCCCTTCTCCTTGAACCCATGTTCTCAGTTTCACTACCTGTTTCCATACTGGATGTGGACTCAATTCTCTGCCGCTTATGGAACATTTTTCTGGAAGGCATCTTGTGGCTGTCTCCTATCACCGAACCATCATGAGAATCCTCAGTGTCCATAATTCTGTTCCGGGTCTGCTTATCAGATTTCTTGTCTGAAGTTGATCTTATGCAAGATATCTGCATTACTTCTTCTCTTTCATGTGGTTTATGATTACTGTGGTTTGTGTTAACACACAAACAGCAACAGCAATTTCTCACTTCCTGACATGTATGGGCAGTGTGTGAGACACAATGGTGATTTATGTTTGGAATAGCACCAATAACAGCATTTTTGTAGCAACAGCTCTTTGAAAGCTCAGCCATGGATGGCATGGCCAGCTTGCAATTCATACGGTTTGGTTGAAATTGAAGAGGATCCACATGCATGTAATGGTGCTGAAAGTCAGGTACCACTGGCATCAGCCATTCATCAGAATGAAATTTTTTACAATAACCTGATGAACATGGATCATCTTCCACTGCAAACAAACCAGAAGGTGCTGGTATGATCCGCTGTGTTAAGGGTTTGTCAGCAGCTGGTGTGCTATGCTGTGTCAGCCGTTTGTTAGCAAGTGGTATTCTCTGATGTGTCAGCAGTTTGTTGGTGCTGGACTGTGCTGTCGGTGCAGCAATAGGAGAATCATCAGATTTACAAGGGAAATTCTCATCAGGACCGCCATCACTTCTGTTTGAACACAACCAAGCTACCAGACTCTGCCATTTTTTTACTTCCTCTCTCAAGCACTTCTCTGGTTTTTTATAATCACAACGAATCATAGTGCTTTGATTCTTTGATTTACTTTCCACAGAGTTCTGTTTTAAGGTAAGGCTGAAAAACCTTTCTTTCTCTGCGCCTTTTAACAAGGACCCATACAATTTTAATTTATCATTACTCAGAATACTATTGTCAGAAAAACACTGCATTTGAATTCCAGCCTCAGCATCAACTTTCCTGCAGAGTTTGGTTTCAACACTTTGCTTTTTGCCTACATTGCAATTTGTTTTTTCTTCCAGTAATTTACAATTACTCAATCTGTCCTCTAGAGGAGAGATACAGTTGGCAGTGTGAGGTATGGTTACATCATCCATTTGTACATCACAAGTGTCATAATCAGCAATGTTAGTTTGACAGGCAATTCCATAGGTAGTAACACCACTTGTTTGAACAGATACATGGCATGAAGGTTCAGCAACTGTATCCACTCCAACAGCAGCATCCAGCATTTCAACACATGCTGAAGTGGAAGCATCGAGCATCTTTACTTTCCCAATACTTGCTAATGGAAAATCAGTTACACACTGTGTTTGAATTTCAGCCTCAGTGTTAACTTTCCTAGAGAAGATGGTTTCAGCAGTTTCCTTTTTATCTATACTGCAAGTTGTTTTGCTTTCTGGTAATTTAAAGTTACTAAATTTGCCCTCTGGATGAGAGACATTGTTAGCAGTGTGCAGAATGGTTATATCATCTGTCGTTACAGCACAAGCATCACAAGTGTTGATGCTGGTTTGACAGGCAATTCTGTAGGCAATATCACCACATGTTTGAACAGCTACATGGCAGGAAGGTTCAGCAATTGTATCCACTCCAGCAGCAGCATCCAACATTTCAACGCACATCTGAGTGGAAGCATCATGCATCCCTGCTTCCTTGATACTTTCTATTGATGACTCACCTGAAAGACAATGAAAACAATGAATGACCATGTGAAATACTGACATATCCACATCTATAGTGGGACTTACATGCTCAGTTGGGAAGAAAGCCCTCACTGCTGGAGATCTGTGTTCATCTAACTTATTTAATGTTTTCTCAGTATCAGATGTAACTTATTTATTGCATAATATCACTTCCTACACCTTTTGCCTTTACTTAGTCAACTTCAGGGGAGCTCACATTCATATCTCTCAACAAAGGTTACCAAAGTTTTCATTTACAATGTAACATTTTTTTTCCATTAAAATTATTAAAAGTCTGTAGATATACTTTTACAGTTTTCAGTTCATAATTTACAAATCTCTTCAATTACATATTGTGACATATGGACCCACTGCTAGGCAGTGACTTGGTAAACATATTCTCATGGGAACCAACGTGTGCAACAACACATCTATTGCTATACAAAGATCAGTAAACATGCCTAAAACAATACAGGAAAAGAGAAGATGGTGTTTTCCATGGGGTCTGCCCCATGGGAGCAGTTAATTGTTGTCAGAAGTTGGGAGAGTTCATTTGAGTTAGCTGTCAAGAACTGGGTCAAGTTCTGGAGATGGCAGTCAAAGGTGACTGAGCAGAAATGAGAAAGAAATGAATCAGACTGTGCAAAGAACACTTCATGTGCTATTTGAAGTTACAGTGAGATGGTTATAAATCCGTTGACAGAACACAACTAGTGAAGACTGAGAATCCTAGTGGATGTGTAATAGTGAACTGTTAATTACGTGTAATTACGCAATCACATGTAGTCACGAGTATAATGTATAAGGTGTCAATAAATCAAATCATCCAGTCCAAAACCCTGTCTGAAGAAGTCACACAGCAAACCCCTACACATGATATCTTCCTTATTATTTCTTCACTGCTACTCCCTGTTACATTATCTAGGAAGCAATGAACAAATGGTAAGATACATACCGAAATAAATTTATAAATTATGAATTATAAAAGTACAGCAATCCCTCAATTTACAAAGGTAATTTGTTTCATGAAAATTGTCCATAAGGTGAAAATTCATAAATCAAAAAATGATATTCTTATTACCTTACATGTAAAAGTCACTGACTCATTCATGAATCCCAGAAATATCCTCAGTATTTCTAACATGTGTTTTAATAGTAAATAAGCATTAAAATGACAGTATTACTTTTTATAATACTTATTGTTCCAAATAAAGCTGTATTATTTTATTCATGTTTATTTTCCCGTACTTCATACAATGTACTGATGCAGCTCTGTTATCATGTGAATGAAGCCTCTCAATCACACATCTTTGTAACTACAAAACAAATATAGATTGCATTTTGGCATGGTAACAATAATAAATAATATTAATTTACTGACAGGTCTACCAAGGCAATAATGAGCATGCTTAAATGTATACATCAGGAGCACAGCTGAGTCTATATGATCACTACAAGGCACACGGACAGCCTGGAAAGATCAGAGATGCATCTGGGTGGTAATTTCTTTTTCTCCCTCCTTCTCTATGTGTTGTGTATTTCTCCACCTTCATAAAAAGACTTATAATGAACATAAGTTGTTTGCTGTAGCAAAAGTGCAGTCAAGTGAAAAATAGGTACAAATTAACATGCTTCATTGTAGTGAAAATTCATAAATCAAGTGTTCGTAAAACAAGAGATACTTGTATATGAACACACTTCTGATAATTTTAATAAATACTTTTAACTGTAAATGAAACTGTTCAATAACTACTACAAAGTAACATGAGATCCTTAAGGAAAGTTAAAACATATGGAAGGTGATGTTATATTTGATGGCGAAAATATATTAAATGCTGAATATACAATACAACTGCAATGGATAAAAATAGTATAAAAGTTACAATTAATATTTTGCTGGACATTATCCATCATCTTGTCTATTCTAAAAAACAGTCTAATTTCTATTAAAAAACACAACGTTCCGGGAACTGGATTCTGTCCCCGTCTTCAGGTAAAACCTACTCAGTTGGGTCCAATAGACAGAGCTAGCCCCTATCTCCGGACAACTATGCCAATTTCCGAAGGGATTCATAAAAGAAGCACAACTTAATCCATCTGTGGGAGCTAAGATAGTTAGTATAGATAGATAGATAGTATAAAAGTTACTGACCCTATACTAATTTGTTTCATTCAGAATATATCCAGCTCAAGATCTAGTTGGGGCTGGGCCATACTGACCAAGATTTCTCATGGTTGTCCTTACTCTCTTCATACAATTGCCAGAATAGTACATCAAAATATGCTACAACCATTTCCTTCAACATTCTTCCTTCACAAAATCCTACCGTGTTTCATGATACATTACAGGTAAAGGTAAAGCTATTCCTGTAACAGGCCGTGGAGGCCCATTAGATTATGAGACATCGAGGCTCCCACATATTCTAGACAACTGGCTCACTGATGGTGGTGAAGTTGTCAGCCTTATGTGATTACAGAGTTTGGCAAATTTACTCAATAAAGAACACAATCAAGTACTGCAATTTCATTGCTTCTATAAGTTGAAGAAAAATTTAATTCTATGCTAACACATTCAAGATTCTTATTTAATTAAAAGAATAAGGTTAATAACATTGTCTTGGGCCATGAAAAGTGATCATGACTGATTGTCCAAGAAGATTTTGTTAACATTTGTTGCTGTGAAAGCATCAGGTCTTACAAGATAACAGAGTCTGTCTGAAAGAGATAAGAGTCACTACAGTTACAGGGCTGTGAGACTGCTTCCACTTGATCATCTTAATATTAATTGTAAACAAACTCCCACACATGAACTGCACTGGGCTCCGTGAAATGTAACCCCTTCAAACAGTCCACAAGTTAATTACTTTGCTTCATTCCAAACATTACTGGCCATCAGACATGTTGATTCATTGTCAAAATTTGTATGCACCTCGCAGCCAGCAGTGCACTGGTCATCATGAAAAGTACAAATGTGAACCGCTCAATAAGTTAAAAAAAAAACTCTCTGTATATGTATACCATAAGAAACATCAACACATGTCACACAGATGGCATAACCAAAACCTGAACTTATGCACAGAAGCACAGCAGTTTCATCAGCAATTTTACAGACACCTACAGATTACCAATGTTGGTCGAAACATGCATATACCAGTGATGTAGAGAGATTTTAACGCTTAAAACTTTTGAAGGATTTAAAAAGCAAGTTGCATGGAGATGGCTAATAACAGGAATAAATCATTCCTCTATCTGTATCTAGGTCCATCACATGGTCCCTTTTATTCATACCCTGTCTCCAAATACTTTCAACACTCTCTTTGATTTCATCATACTCAAAGCATTATGATAGAATATAAATTTGACCCCAATAATTTATTTTTCATTTAATGTCACTGTCAGTAGCCCAGAATATATAGTTCAAATGGTAGGATGATTGATAAATAATGAATTGGAAAAGATACTATCCCAGCATTCAGCTGAAGGGACTCTGTGAAGAACCTCAGTCAGGATGGTTGGCATCACAGCAGAAATTTTAACTCTGTACATGTTGAACACACATCAGAGGCATTACCACCTGAGCAAACATGCTTGGTGAACCTCATGAAGTCCTCTGAACAATGCAGGAGAGAGAAAGCATTCCAAAAGCTACTGATCTAGATAAAATGGGTTATCTATGGCAGGGGTCTCCAAACTTTTCGAACCGCAGGCCACATTAGGTAATTCAGCACTTTCAACGGGCCGGATAAAATGAGAAATTAATAACTCTAGGTATATGAGTTTTATTGAAAGCACAGAATTTCATAAACTAAATACAAAGTACGTGAGAATAAATTATCTTATAATAATGACAACAGACAGTAGCAGCAAATGCTCATATTTTCATCACAAATTATATTAAAACAATTAATGTGAATGATGGAACTCTTTTTGCATTCTTAAAATCTGATTAAATTGAGGTTCAAATTTTGAAACGCTAATCACAAGTAGTGACTTTAAATGTTCATCGGATAAATTTGCTCTGTATTTCGACTTGATGTACTTCATCTGGGAAAAAAGTTTGTTCACACAAATACGTCTTCCCAAAAATGGAGATAAATTTAAAAGCAAATTTCTTTAAATTTGGAAATTGCTCAGAGTTCAGAAATTTATAAAATTCGATCAAATTTCCTTCCTTGTATTTGTCTTTAATATGATAATTTTCCTGAAGTTCAATAATTTCCATTTGAATTTGACATCTGCAGCATCACAGTCAAACGGATTTTGAAACAATCTAATTTCCAAATCAGCAAATCGTTTCCAAAATTGTTCTTTCAAATCTAAAATGACTAAATTTGCAAATGAGGAAGGAAATTCTGCTTCACCCTTTTTATGCAACTCTGCACAGTATAGCATATGAACAAAGTTACAATTTTTCACTTGGATTTCCAGAAGTATCAACTTTGCTCTGAATGCCTTGATAAGTGCAAATAAATCACAGACTAAGTTATTTTCACCCCGCAACTTTAAATTCAAATGGTTCATATGGCTCACCAGATCAGCAAAACTGCTAATTTCCAAAGCCACTTGGTATCTGATAAAAGCGGTTCGTGGTGGTTTTTCTGGGTAAGAAATATATCAATTTCAATCCTGAGCTGAAAGAAGCGCGAAATAACCTTTCCATAGCTAAGCCATCGAACTGCAGTATAATATGTCAGGTCAATAAGCTTGGAATCACATTTACCAGTATTCATTGGAAAATTAGTTCAATTGGCGCATTTCTGCACAATTCTTTCGCAGGCCAGATAAAATCACATAGCGGACCGCATGTGGCCCGTGGGCCGTAGTTTGGAGACCCTTGAACTATGGTATACTTATCTGTTTAAATCATAATACTGACTTCACAAAATCACAAATCCTTCTTTAAACTATATATAACACACATATTAAAGCTCAGACCAGTCTTTGCCAACTAAGGAAAAAATTAAGTTAATGATGCATATCTTACCTTCTCACAAGTTTCCCCTGCAAAGAAGACAACTAGAAATTTTGTAAACACAAAAGTAACAAATAATACATACTCTGACAATGGATCCTGACTGTCTCTGGTCCTGGATTCAATGGTGACAGCAGATTTGGAACACTTCTCATTTCTTCCATAATATTCTGAATATAAAAAACTGTATCTACAGGAGACTCCGCTTTTGAAAATGTTGATTTGCAATCAGAGTTATCCACAACAGACACTAAACCACCACTACCACCACTGAAATTAGTCACTGCTCCATTGGTAGTTCCTGCTTCCTTAAACTCAGGTCTGCTCAGAGTTAATGGAACATCAGGATCAAACAGTGATGGAAGACTCACACTCTTCATTCCAGATACTGCATCTGCTACCAGTGTGGGGCCTACTATCATGTTCCCATCACTAGAATCCATATGATCCACTTCACTCCTCTTCTTGGCCTGAACCTCTCGAACAGAAGTTACACCCAGAGAAGCTAAGGCATTATCACAAGAGTTCCTTTTGGCCAGTTCTGTTCTGAGCACTGGCACTACTTTTGGAGAGTCATGTACCTGAATCCCATTGCTTCCAAGCATGACCTCTTTATCTGAACCCAAGGTGAGAGGAACCACAATGCCTGGAGACAGTTTGTGGCTCTTCCTATGACGCACTTTCTTTGTGCAATCTGAGGTTAGAGGTTTGCACACCACATCTGACAAAATTGCACCTGGGGGGTAAAAAAAAACAGAAAGTTAAAAAATAGGAAAGCACACCAATGCAATATAACAACTACAGCAAAACATTCATTTTATAATATTATATTTCAGCATCCTGTTGCAGTGGAACACCATTTTAAATTGTAAAGGATTCCATCTTTAATGCGACAAAGTCGATCCTTTTTTAAAATACATCAATTTTTTAATTCACTAAAAAGTGTTTGTTAAATATTTTAAACTGTCAATGACTATGTACATTCGTTGTCACTGCTACATGTTTTGGAGACCACTACACCCACTGATCTCATAAGACTATTTTTTTCAAAACAAGGAAAGCAGCTGAAAAAAAAATTACTTTCATGAAGTGTTCTGATATCAAAAAGCACCCATTAAGTCTCATTATGGGTGCATTACACTTTAGGTGTCCAGAATATCAATATCTTATCTTATCTTATCTTATCTATCTTAATATCTTATCCTTCAATACCACCTGAGGCTCCATTGAAAACATGTCACCAAATGCATTTAACATGCCAAGTTATAACAACTCATTACTGTACCAAAATACTTCACATGGTCACCACATTAGTTCTGATTTTACTGAAAAATGGCCTTAATAAAAGTTGTGTAATTTCTAAACATCCATAACAATATAACACTCCACGCTGGACCACAGTTTCAGAAACACTGCTCTAAAACAACAGCATGAAGTCTTACCACTTTGCTCCTTGACACAGCTGGTGACTGATTCCAGATTCACAGATGTAACTGGGTTCTGATCATCATCAGATAACAGCTCTGAGACTGAACCCATGCCGGTATCTCTGGACGAACAGCTACTGGCCGTTTCTGGTGAGAAAATTTCTTCATCTTCTGAAAAGTCACCTTTGCCATTTACAAGATGTGTAAGTTCCAGGCGCCAACGTGCCAGCATTTTCTTGTGTGTAGGTGCAAGTCTCCCTGCAAGAAACATATACACTATATTAAAAGGATTCCTCTCTCCAGGAATAACAATATCAAATATAAAAATTAGTAACAAACTTGAGTCAGCAAAACAGAATACCTGCCTTAAGTCCAATTTATTAAATTAACCAGTATCAGCCATGCATCACACTATTGTGATAGCCATGTGTGTGGTCCAGTAGACCTAGTGCTGCAATTTTCTATACAACTACTACTACCCCAGAGTAAAACTCTAACCATTACTATGATTAACAGCATGGGATCTAAACCCCTTAATTCCAAACAGCAAAGGTCAATAGACGTAAAGTTACTTCTGTAAGGTAAAGCAATCCTTTTAATAGGCCATGAATTCCCATAGGGTTGTGAGACATCAGGGCTCCCACATTTTGTCTAGACAGTTGGCTCACAGATGGTGGTAAGGTTGTCAGCCTTATGCGCTGGCCATCCTTTACCCCCCAGGAAGATTCCTGGTACTCATCTCTGACAGAGGCTGAGTCAATCCCAGGGCCATAGTGTGGCCAGAACAATTAGGTAAACTGAAAAAAAAATTCACTTCAACAGGACTCAAACCCTTGACCCTCTGGCAGATAGCACAGTGCCTCAACCAACTGTGCTAATTTTTTTTTAATTCGCTTAGTGGGGGGTGGAGTCCAACTGGGTCCACTTGGCATGGCGGCCACTGATTGGCCTACTGTAGCCTGCCCTGGGTGATTACGATGATGGAGAATTTGGTGGAATGAAGATTGGCAGGGGAAACCGAAGTATTCGGAGAAAACCCGCCCCAGCACCACTTTGTCCACCACAAACCCCACTTGAACAGACCCAGGATCAAACCCAGACTGCTGCAGTGGGAAGCCAGTGACTAACCGCTTGAGCTATGGCACGGCCAACCAACTATGCTACTGCGAGCCCCCAAGTTACTCCTGTGTCTAAGCATTATACCACAATTGCATTAGGAGGGATAATGGTTGAAATATCTTCAACCCTGGCATTAGATGGAACTGAGTTTTCAACAAATTCTTCACTTTTGCATCCCAGTAAAATACCAGCCCCCCAGCACAAACTGGATAGCAGTTAACTATCTATGTTTTCGCCTTACTGATCAACCAGGGTAGTTACTGAACTTAAAGAATGCTAATGGGGTTAGCAGGTCCTAAACTGAAGAGAGAGAACAAATCTTCTATAATGTTACATAAAGTAAAAAGTAAAGGTATCCCTGTAACAGGCTGTGGAGGCTCATAGGGTTGTGAGATGTTGAGGTTCCCACATTTTCTAGACAATCGGCTCATAGATGGTGGCAAGGTTGTCAGCCCTATGACCATTAACCCCAAGAATATTCCAAGAATATTCCTGGTACTCATTTCTGTTAGAGGCTGAGTCGACCCCAGTGCCATAGTGTGGCTGGAAGGATTAGGTCAATTGAAAAAATCCAATGACCTCATCGGGACTTGAACCTGTGACCTTCTGGCTTGTTGTATAGTGCCTCAACCAACTACGCTACCGCGTGGCCCCCAGTGTTACATAAAAGTTGTTAAATTCCACAAATGCCAACCTTAAAATTTAAATTACAGACTTCTGCGGGGTGGGAGAAAGGCAAGCACCTATGTCTATACTGTCTTTTTGCTCTACAAATTCAACAACGAAGAGAGTTATTTGCTGAATTAGCCAAGTAACACAATGGCTTCCTTTCTTGTGCAGTGACCTCTCTGGGCTGTCAGTTGATTTCTTAAATGTAAAAAACCTGAAAGCTCAGTACTATCACCACCAGAGCTATACCCAGTCCTGAGCCAGTTTAATTCAATTCAGTTCACATTCTTACAAATTATTAACCAGAGAAGCACTGTAGTACAATTCTACTATCTATGTGTAGGTCTCCAACTGCCCTCTCCCTATTGAATTAAAAAAAGTTTCATTTATATTTTCATCCATGACCCACAAACTTCAGTTTTATTGATTACATCACTTGAAGAGCATTAGGAACAGAATAAAAATCAAGAAGCTCCTAATTACACTATTTCTTCCCTACCACATTAGTTCACCTCTCACAAGTCCAAGCAGCCTTCTCAGCACTTCACCTTCCAACATTAACATTCTTCCATTACAGTGAGAGATCAAGTCCCAAATCCATATGTTTTAAGTGATGTTGAAAATACTTTATATACAAATCAATCATTTCCATTTATTTTTAGTGGAAAATGACACCTTTCCAGAAGTACCTTCCCCCACTCAGGAAGATCTAAACACGTGCAACAAATGTCACACACATTACAAAAAAGAATTACCTTCTTTCTGGACAAAATCTGCAAATGAGACAACATTCTGTAATGTCTTCAGTCTTTTCTTCTCCACAGACAACTTCTCACTTTTTGCCTCCTTCAGTGACTGGGTTAAATTTGAGGCTGTTTCTGCAACACAAGCATGGAAATGTCTTAGCATGTTCCTGTACTTCTACATCCCACACAGCCTGTTCAAGTCAACTATTTGAAGGCCTGCACCAATGCATTAACAGTAGGTTGTCCCAATGAAAACTATGGCCGACACGTTTATACATTTTGCATAACACTCTCAGATGAATGGCAGTTAATGGTTATAAAATGAACTAAAGGGCAACAGAAATTCATTTTCATAATATAAAAGGCCTAAAAAATGGGGACAAAATTTTCTACTCCTAAAACCATGCTGCTAGATTTGCCTGTACTGTCACAATGGCTATGACCACTCTCTCCAAACTGAATTTTGTCTTTGGTCAAAATGGGAAAATCTTTGGATTTTCATGCATAATAGGTTTCACTGGATCATCATGCAATCACAATGTTTTTCATAAATACTACTTTAATATAATTACTAATTGAAATCAATGATGAACTGAGAATACCATATTACTTCAAACATAAGACACATATTTCACATTATTTCTTGTTGAAAAATCGAGGTGTGTCTTAAATTTGACAAATGTGCATCTTTCCAATTTTTTTTTCATAAAACCAATATTCAAAGACAGATGTGTCTTAAATTCAAGGATGTCTTGCATTTGAAGTTATATGACCATATTACTTGAAACAGAAGTGTAATTTAAGTTTTACTTAATTTTAAGTGCAATCATTGACTCAAAAGATGTTAATTTTAATAATAATACAGTGTTTTAATACTAATAAGTGTACACTTAAGACTCCCAAATCTATATGCTAGTGGTAGACCATCGAATCACATACGTAATATTCATTTTATTCTTAACTATTCAAATTAACATAAATAATAACAAAAATATCAATAATATAGGTGCATATATTAATTGTCAAAAATCTGAATTAAGGATTGTGAATTATAAAACCTATTAATGTAAATATGGATCCATATTAATGCGTTATATTGAAAGACTTATCACTATTGTTTCATGCATTCCTGAAGATAACCTAAAGAAAGGTCAGAACATGCAGCATTAACATCTATGCTAATAGACGAGTTGTTGATACTGTAGTATCTGATTATTTTTATTATTATTATTATTGGAGGGGGTGGGTTTCCCCATGCACCGCGACCAGTGGTCTACTGTACGTCCCCCTGTGATATTCTACCAGTCTCTATACCCTACCGATACTGGTGCGTGCCATCAGTCCCGACTCAGCCAGTGAGTTCGGCCTCTACTGGCTCAGCAGTATCTAGATGCTTCCCCCATCTACCAGAGGCGTTAGAGACTATTGTTGGGCAGGAAATGTCCTTTATACTTTGGCTCAGAGGCCTCCTTGAAGCATGAGGTTCTTTTACGTGCCGTAAAGCTATGACATGGGACCCATGGCTTAAACTACCTCCCGGAGGACTTGTTCCCTGAATTTTTCCGCCCTTAAAAATTCCACGACCTCCGCCGGGTTTGAACCCGCGTACCTTGAGTCATGAGGTGGGAACGTTAGCCCTAGACTATGGAGGCCGCTTAGTATCTGGTTCCTTTCAGTTTCAATATATGTTGTGCTCACTGACCCATTTTATATTCTTCTTGAATGACACACAAAAAGATGCATACTATGAATTAACACTGATCTTTTAGACATCCTCAATACTTCTAAATGAATGTTCCAAAAACCATAAGGGGCTTCAATCTTTGTACTGCACTTGCAAATTCAAACAGCCCAGTCACAAAAAATGGTAAGCTACTCATACAAGTTGAGGTTTGATCCACAGCAGATGATATTCACCATTATGTCAAGGAGAATGCCTCTGCTGTAGCCTACCATAAGGCAAATGCAGTCAGAGGTAACGATCACTCATCTACAAATGCTTGGAGATTTTTCTCCATACTCTTCGTGCTCATTCAGAGTGTGGTACTTACCAAAATATGATAATTTCAAACATCAGCAAAAAGATCATAACAAATTTTTGTCTTCCAGAAGGACATGAATGTCTGCATGCATACACATCACAACCTATGCATTCTGCCATTTTCATGTATATAATCTTTCATCACTGTAACCAAACTTATACAAGAGACCAGGCTACTGAATAAGCTCTATGTAAAATACCTATTCACTGGAATTCCTTAATTTTTTCTTAACTGTCTGATTTTGGCTGCAAACATCTCTCTTCCCACATTACATTTAGATATACAGTAAAAATGAATCTCCATGAAGAGACTAAAGGCAAAATTTTCCTTCGCTTAAGTAATTAAGCACCATACCTTGAAAGGTTGGGGGAACACAGCAGTGTAGTTAGTTGAGGCACTAAGCTACAAAGCAGAAAGTTGTAGGTTCAATTCCCTATGATGCCAGTGGATTTTCAAATTGACCTAATCCTTCCAGTGGTGTCTATGGCCCTAGGGCCGACTCAGCCTCTAGCAGAAATGAGTACCAGGTATCTTCCTCAGGGTAAAGAACATGTCTGGAAAATGTGGTAGTCTCAGCATTTCACAATCCTATGGGCCTTCATGGCCTGTTATAGGGATAATTTTGCCTTTCTTTACAAAGGTGTATGGAGGTATAGCTCCACAATTCTTGACCCCCAGGGGAAAGAGCCCCCGATAACCACTGGATAGAAGGCTGGATGGGCCCAAGAACCAGTTTGGATATTGTGGAGTAGCAAAAAATCTCTTGCCCCTGTTGGGAACCGTAACTCCCACAGCCCACAGTCTGTTGCCATAGTGACTGAGCTATCTCGAATCCCCAGAGAGGTTAAAGAACATTAACCTTTAACGTACGGACTTTTAAATTGCCAGGAGCCCTTTACGGCTGGAATTTAAATCACCCTACTTAATTATCACCGCAAACTTTTAGAAAAAATGCATATTTTCCGTTCTATGCAACATAGAAATATGAACTAAAAAGAACCTGAAAGATAATAAAATTTTCTACATATACGTAAAAGAACAAGTTTTACAAATGAAAATTAACTGTGAATATTTTGTCATGAAATGCAAAACATACTCTTTATTATATATGTTATGGAGTTCAAAGGACTTACCCATTGTTTTTTCTTCAATCTTGAATCATAATGATATTGTAGATATGATCACACTATATGCAATAATATTTTGTTCAGACTGTATGCGAGTTTGAACTGCGTGACTTCACAGTTTAGGCTATCTCACACTCTGACGCCCGTGTGCCATCTCTCGAAGCAGTCCTCCACACAGAGGGCAACGTTACATTTTTTACAGCAGTAGGCCGTGGTTCTGCGCTTCTTATTCTGAGAACAAATATGACATCTTTGTTTTCCTTTGGCTGGCCAGTGTTGTGAATGTTTCACCTTCAGTTGACTCAGTTGGGCCCCAGATGAACTTGGCCTCCCCCGAGAAACGCCACTGACCGTGATATTCGCCTCATGAGACTGAAGAATCAAATCCCGCACCAATATTTCGCGGAACTTTTTGTGTGTCATCACAGATTCCACTTGGAGGACCAGTGAAATCTATTTACTTTGGCGAATCCCGGGTCTTCTATCACGAAACCTAATTTCCGTTTCCTCTGCCTCGTCTGATGATGATGATGATGATGATGACGACAATGTATCTGCTCGAGGTTTAAAGAACTCACTGATATCTTCTAGCTCTTTGTCAGATTCCTCTTCTATCAATACTTCCTCCAGCTCTTCTGCATCGAGAATTTTGGAATATCAGGCACGTTTTTGAGGTTCCATCTTGGAGGAGGGGGGTTTCCAGCAAAATCGAATAAATTATGATGATTCACAAAGACTCGCAAAATAGTGATGCAAAGTAACTGTAATAGTATGGTACAATAGGCCAGAAGTGGCAGCAGTACAAGAGACTTAGTCCCACCCCACTAGCAATAAAAAATAATAATTGTAATAGTAGTTGAAAAGGTGCTAGTCCGACACTGATACGGAAAGTCACAGTGACGAAGATGCCTACTACTCACAAACAAATACTGGCTCAGTGGGTTTATACCTCTTCTGAGACACAAAATAATATAAACAGAAATATATGAGAGTCTGACACTAACATTTTAAGCGAAAAAAAATATAACACAATCCGACACTGACTTCCTAACTGATAATTCGCCACTGAAAACCAATTGTTGAATACGTCACACTTCCTTGAAAGCTCTGGAAGCACTGATCTAAGCACCGACGAATATTTCCTCTTCAGTTCTCAGAACAAAGCTGGGCTACATTTGGCTCACCAGGTCATAAACAGTCATATATAAACATAAATAGTTTCGAAATCAGGACCGAGACAAACGATTTGTTCGTTCAGAGCTAAGGAATGAACCACTGACATGACATCACGTAGGTTTCTTTTGGTTTCAAACCCAAGGTCAAACTGTCAGCACTCCTAAAGAGTGTGCATGTCCTGCAACATGTATAGTTAGTTAGTTATTGGAGAGGGTGGGTTTCCCCATGCACTTAGACCTGTCTTGGTCCATTGTGCTTCCCTCTATGATATTCTACCAGTCTCTATATCCTACCGGTACTGGTGCTTACCATCAGTCCCGCCCAGCCAGCGAGACCGGCTCTACTAGCTGAGAGGTATCTATAATGCTTCCCCCATCTACCAGAGGTATTAGAGACTACTGTTGGGCGGGAAACGTCCATAATTTTGCTCAGTGGCTTCCTTTGGAGACATGAGGTTCTTTTACGTGACGTAAAGCTACGACACGGGACCCACGGCTTAAAGTCCCTCCCGGAGGACTTGTTCCCTGAATTTTTCCGCCCTTAAAAATTTGACGACCTCGCCAGGTATTTGAACCCGCGTAATACGAGTCATGAGGTGGGAACGTTACCTCTAGACTACGGAGGCTGCTTTGCGACATGTATAGGTGTCATTCGGCCAACTCGGGTCCCTCCTTGCGACATGTATACGAGTCATTCGGCGGTTAAAGGTTAAGATTAATTCATTGTTAGGATACAGTGTGTTTAATGGCCACCTCCAGAAAACTTTTCACATACAATCTGAAGCAAATAAATTCCAAAAGTAAAGTTCAATCCTATGTTACCGACTTACCTTTTCGCAATTCAATTTCTGCTTCATATTTGGAGACTTTATCTTTCAACTGCTGCGCAAGACTATTCAGCTGGATGTTGTGCTTCTCAGTAGCTGCATACTGATTGGCCTCTGACTCAAGCTTCTCCTCTAAGGCAACCTTTATTTTCTTCAATTTTTCCAGCTCCTATCAATGTACATCATACATTTAAACTTCTTTAGGTAACAGCATGGCAAGAATAACAAAATCATGACACACATGAATTTGCATCCCTAGTATCTCTGAAGATTTGTTATTTTACTGTAATATAATCCATGTGTTCATGGCTTTCAGCAGGAAAGAGACCACCGGGAAGAACAAGGTGTAGGTGGGTGGACAATATTAAAATGGATCTTAGAGAGATAGGGTGGGATGGTAAGGATTGGATTGACCTGGCTCAGGATAGGGACCAGTGGAGGGTTCTTGTGAACACGGCAATGAACCTTTGAGTTACATAAAATGCTGGGAAATTTCTTGAGTAGCTGCAGAATTGGCGGCTCCTCAAGAGGGGCTCAGCTCCATGTGTAAGAGTAAGAAGAGTTCATGACTTTATTTTTATTTATGATCATTGTGGCAAAACTCCAAGGAAGGTGGATGGGGAGATAGGAAAAGTGTGATGACTGTTAGGGAAATACATGATAAGAAAATGTAGGAATTGAATTGGCTCAGGAGAGAGTCCAAAGGTGGGATTTCGTGTCAAAGAGTTCTGACACTTTGATCTCATAGTTACTTCATTAGATTAACAGCCAGTAACCTAGTTGTAATCATGAAGTTTGAGGCTTCCATGGTGGTGAAAATGTAGATTATGGCCTTCTAGGTTATGATATCATAACAGTGCTTATCAGTATTTAAGAAAAACATGCATCACTACCTTTGAGGTAGTAGCAGGCTCCTCCAAAATCTTGGTAATGTCATTTATTGCTAGTGGGGTGGGACTAAGTCCCTTGTACTGCGGCCACTTCTGGCCTATTGTACCAGCCCCAGATGATAGGTGAGGGTGATTGTGGAGCAATTGGGTGAATGAAGATTGGCAAGGGAAACCGAAGTACTCGGAGAAAACCTGCCCCAGCACCACTTTGTCCACCACAAATCCCACTTGACCAGACCCTGGATCGAACCTGGGCAGCCGTGGTGGAAAGCCAGCAACTAACCGCTTGAGCTATGGCGTGGCCTTGGTAATATCATACACTTGCTCTACAGAGAAGAGCTCTTTTTGAGGAGCCAGATGTTGCTCAGCTATTCAAGGAATTCAACACCTTCTACAGAACCTGAATATCTATAAACCTCTTCTTAAAAATATGTCACTAGTCCCTACCCTAAACCAATTCAATCCCACACTACTTCTGTGAGATATGTTTTAATATTAACCTTAAACATATGCATAAAACTTTCAAGCAGTTTCTTCCCTTGAGATCTTCTGCCAAAAATATTGCATGCATTTCTGAACTTCCTCATATATGCTACATGTTTCACCTACCTCATCCTACTGGATTTTATCATTCTAATATTAGGCAATGAGTATAAATTATGAAGTTGTCATTATGTTACTTTCTCCAGCTGCCTGATATTTTTGCCCTCTTAGATTCAAATGTTCTCCTACGCACCCTATTCCCAAAAACCCTTAACAGATGAGAGTGTTTTCCTATGGGGTCCATGCCGTGGCTATATAGTGACAGCCATGAGCTGTCAGTTCAGGGTTCAAGACAAAATTAGCTCACAGCAGTTATGAGTGACAGAACCAGTTCAGAACAGAATTCCTGAGTTAAGAGTGAATAATAGTGTCGAAAGGACATGAATAGAAGCAAGAGGAAACCAGCTGAGCTGGACAGAAGATTCAGCTAAGAAACAGAAGATGACAGATTAGTCAGGTTGCATCATGTGGAAGACTTTATTTGAGTGACTGTAATTGTAATTGTAGTCAACTTATCCAATAAATCACTTCATCTAATTTGGAACCCATTAACTTCTTGTTGCGTTACCAGGATACATGACAATACTGTTATTCCAAAATGTTTGAATTATGTCATATTTTCAACTAACGTATTAGCTATTATAAACGTTCTGTAATCTGATGATAAAGACATTTAGCTTTTCAAGAGCCTACTCCTAGATCTACTTCCCTTCTTGTGTTTATTATGGTTCCTGTGTTTTGATATATTTTGCTAAACTTCTGGGATATTCTTGCATCTTAATACTAAAATTGGTTTGAGGCAGCGCGAAAGGCAAGTATGATTGCCTTTCCAAGGCAGACTTAGCTCTGTGAGCATTTGAATATGACTTCTAGGTCACTGAAAAGAAGTGAGGGAATAAAAATTACAAGTTATCTGGGAGCAGATAGTTTAGTTCACTCTGGGTTCTGTTACAGTACAGTACAGATTCCTTACCTCCTCCAAAGGCATCTGCTTTGTCATAGTGTTTGTCAGTTTGCTCTGGTACTCCTTCAGTAAAGCACTTAACTGCTTCAGCTGTTTTTGTAGAGTTTCGTTTTCTTTACATTTTGTATTAAATTTCTTTATCAGCTCACTAGAAAAAAACATAATAAGTTTACATGACACTGCCTAACTACAGTAAACTGTCAATTATCCATGCACTTTCATATGTTCAAAGATGGGAATTACACACACACAAACGTGATTCAACTTGTCCCAACTCCATGTATTCCATCCAAGTACTTGATTCAATATCTAAAGAATTTATCTATAAATTTTACAAGCAAAAGGCAAGCTGGAACCCAAACAACCTTGGACTTGTTCTTTGCAAAACAGCCCAGTCATGGAGGAATCAGAACTTAAGGCAGATCCTTCCAATTTCCATCACACACACACACACACACACACACACACACACAATGTAAGATTATTACACAGTATACTCTTAAAAATAACAATACTGATAGCATAAGGTAGTGATATGTTAAGTTTATTTATGTAAAAAATGTTATCTTAATGCAGTATCATTAGTTCAAAACAGGCGTAGGAATTGTAGTATGGGACAACAGGAAAAAATTCCTTATTAAAAATGTAGTGGATAGCATGCTACCTTCTCCAGTTACAGACCCACCATGATACCCTTGAAGTTCAGGTTCTTATTAATCTCTGCTTGAATTCTTCCTTATGAGTGGAAAATCGCCACTTAAAAGTGGCGTTTTCCAGTCCAAATTAACCATAAACAAAGAGGACCCTTTGTATATTGTGAACTTTATCAAACTGTATGTCAATATTCTTCAGTGAAGTTCGATACCAATTTTAACGATTCTCTATTATGATAAAGTTGTGCTGTAAACATCACCCGGATTAATATATTTCACTAATTACTTACTGCGTAAGAATCAGCTTCTCTTTGTATACCTGAAACCTCTTCTCCAGCTTACTGAGATTATCTTCATATTCCTGAAAGTGAAAATACAACATAAGCACCCGATATAATGCCTCACAGAGGACAGTCAAGAGCCCATATTTCCAGTTTCCAATTTAAGTTATTTACTTTGTGTGTTTAATAAATGTGTGATATGAAAGCCTCCAGATTCCATCTTATTGCATACACGGTTACACTGAAGGGTTGTTCTGCCTTTTAACATTGTTAGTTTTATACTATACTATAGCCAACATGCCTGTTAATATCCCTTTCTTTCAGGAATGATAAGTGCCTGTAAGTAACCAATACTATTACTTAAATTTCTCATGTGCCTTTCAAAGAACAACAAAATACATATATGCTGTAAAACATGTTAAATCAATAGTGAAGAATTGACTTACGAAAATAATTCATTCCATAAAACCTGATATTCCCATTGCTTTACTTGTAAAAGCCACTGACTTATGAGTCCCAGAAAAATAATCCCTCTAGTATTTTTAATGTATGTCTTAATGGCAAATAAGCACTAAAGTAAGGACAATATTACTTGCTTATGATATTTATTATTGCAAATAAAACTGTAGCATTTTATTCACATTTATTTAATCATGGCTGATGCAATGCTACAATGCAGCTTCATTAGTGTGTGAATAAAGTCTTTCAAGTGCAAGTCTTCATGGCTAGAAAACAAATATAGACTGCATGTTGGCATAGTAGCAGCAGCAATATATGATACTAATTTACTGACAGGTCCATCAACTATGAAGGAGACAAGGTGCAAGCTACAAGCTGAATGATTATATGACAGTCATGGCAAATGCAATGCACAAATATTAGAGACAAAAACATTTATTAAAAGACTCCACCTTCCCATGTTTTGGGTACATATTTCTCCCACTTCACTAAAATAACTTCTTATGAATATAAGTGGTTTGGGTAGATTCTAAAGGGTTCTGACAATGGTGTATAACATATAGAACTCCTGGGCTTTCGGACTTTTTCCATCATCTGGTATTCTAGAGAATAGAAAGCACGATGTTTCGGAAACTGGATCTGTTTCCATCCTCAGGTGAAGGGGGGAGAAGACACCTACTCTGTTGGGTCCCTCAGAAAGAGCTAATCTCAATCACTGGACAACCCATCAGATTTACAGATATATTTAATCACTTGAGACTAGACTAATTTGGCAGGAGATAAGTTGTTTGTTGTAGCAAAAATGGAGTTCATTAAATGAAAAACCAGTAAAAATCAACACATTACACTGCAGCAAGAATTCTTAAATGGAGTGTCTGTAACATGAGGGATAGCTGTATATTACTCAAAGCAACTCACATGTCACATTTCTCTGTGTGATTTCTGACAGAAATTTCAGTCAGCTGTAATCTGTAGCACATGTAAGTACTATATACTGGATGACCAGGGTTAAATTACAGAGAAGAAGAAGTGACCACCACACAAGACAACTCAGCCTACAGACCAATGGTACGGGGAGCTTTCTCTGAGGGTAAAATGACTGAGGGCAGGAAGTTAAGTCCCCCTCTGTCTAGTGCCAAGGTTAAGGCTGTGCAGAGCTATACCCCTGTGCTCCTATACATCTCCAAACAAGAAAAAAATCTGTCCTAGTCTGATTCTTCCACATATGAATCTCAATGACTAGAAATAGTGGCTGGCTACAAATATCATGATCTTACACAAGTTACAGAGGGGACATTCACCAAGAATACATAGGAGAGATTTATTCCTGCAACCAGAATAATCTTCAATAACAAGAAATAAGACATCTATGCTTAAATACAGCATTGGCTTGTTCAAGTTAAAGACATCACCAGTTCCATTTCATGTAGTTTAAATACCATGATGGCATATGACACATAACAATCCAAAACAACTGGACAATGTTGTGAATTTCCCAAGCATGGCCCTTCAAATATCTAAATATACATATACAGGATGTCCCAGGAGGAATGTGCCAAACTTCGGGAGGGTGTTCCTTATGTTAAAGTATGCCGATATAACCCAAAACACCTATGTCCAAAGTTGAACGGTTACGGAGATAATGGCCCGAGAAAAGTGTGGTCTTCTAGCGGGTCCACGGATTATACCTATCAGCTGAGAGGAATTATCTCTGTTTGTCCTTGACTGCCGTGATTCATCCTATCCGTGCTTATGGAGTTGGCTTTATCAGAACGCGCAGTCAGCACGTTACGTCATCGCTTACCATTCATGTGTCATGTACAGTGCTTGGAACTCTTAACGACAACTTTGAGATGGCATGCGAGTTTTTTGTACTTCAATTTTATGGCTTCATGTCACTCACAAGTTAGTTTGATGTTACGTACATTATTAACGTTACAGAATCCACATATTCCTGCCAGTTTTAATATCTATTTTGTAATCAACAAGTGTGTAACCCCGGTCAAAGTTTGACACTTCTCTGGCCATTATCTCCGTAACCGTTCAACTTTGGACATAGGTGTTTTGGGTTATATCGGCATACTTTAACATAAAGAACACCCTCCCGAAGTTTGGCACATTCCTCCTGGGACACCCTGTATATGAATAGTCTTATCTACTGGCTGAACCACAATATTTTGTTGAGGATCCATGAGCAGATCACACCCTTCCACACACTAAAGCTAGAAATGGGTTTCTAAGAGCAAGAAAAGTCAGAATTCCTCCTAACCTCTACAAGTGACGAAGAACAGCAAATCTCAAACTGTGCCATTTGTATGCTGGGACAGGAGCACATGCATTCTACTACTGCATCTGCAACCAAATTGGCTTTCACTTCCCCCAGACCTATAAATGTACAGTCTGCAGTCAATGTTGCATGCGATCTCAACATTTCAGTCCATTTTGAATTTTAGTTCTATCATATTTCACAAATGATGAAAATTTTGTATGGTTGTATTTGGCACTAACGTGTACATACTGAGCTCTTTGAATGGCTATATGAAGTAAATTAATTTACTTCATACAGGCACTACTTGGTCCTGTCTGAGTGCATGTTCAAAAACGCTTTGAAAACTTACCCTACTCGATCATTGTTTTTATAAAGTGGATGAGTTTCTCTTGTGTGAGACAAACACTAATCAATTATAATCACATAATTCATGAATAATCGGTTTTGGGAATCCATACTGCGCAGTTTTCCTTTCTTTCTTCCAGCAACCAAGATAACACAGTCGGAGATGTACCTGAATGGGCTACTCTGGAGAGATTGCAGATGCCAAGAAGCTGCACCAGGAAGGAAGAACAGATGTAATGAGATGTTGCAGTGTAGAGTCTACAATGAAACGTTATACCAGTACTATCACCAAATTCACCAATATTATCTCAAAGGCCGCTCCATAGCTTCAGCGGTTAGTTGCTGGCTTCCCACCGCTGCGGTCTAGTCAAGTGGGATTTGTGATGGACAAAGTGGTGCTGGGGCAGGATTTCCCCGAGTACTTCAGTTTCCCCTGCCAATCCTCATTCCATCAAATTCTCCATAAGCATTATCACCAGTACAGGTACAATAGGACATATGGAAGCCGACGTGCTGAGGGGACCTAACATGGATTCCACCTCACACTATATGAAATCTTAACTACTGTAATCTACTGTAATCTATTGTAAATGATTGTAAGTATTGTAACTTTATTCTCTTATTGTAATCAGCCAATGTACAGAAAATGACTTGTCCTATATCATGTAACAATGATCTATAGAGATGAAATAAATAAAGGACCCTGAGAACTATACCAGCAGTAGTGTAGGGCCTCCTTTGCTGGACAGGTCAAAGGGTAGGCATCAGACGAAGAGAGACACCAAAAACCAAAAATTGATGCCGGAAGCAGCATCATCAGCAGCAACTTGAAGCACAGAGCAAATGATGCTCGAGATGGTTCAAGTTCGTATAGCAACAGGCGTGAACAGAGTGGTTTGAACGGCTGTTGTACTGCGATGTGGAAAGCAAATGGAAAAGCTACCACATTATCACTTTTCCTGGATGGTCTCCTTCCAAAAACAGAGATACCATGTATGCGAGATGTTTCCTCTGGAGACAAAACAAACCGGAGGGGCGGACAGAAGTGACCAAAAGACGAGGAAAAAGACGTAAGAAGATGCTCGATGACTTTGGGGATAGAAGAGGGTATTTTTATTTGAAGGAGAAAGCTTGTGATCGCATTAAGTGGAGGAACTGTTTTGGAGGAGACTGCGGACCTGTCGTCTGACAGATTACTGATGAAATGAAATATACAACCGGTAACCATTTAGAATGCGACCTATAATTGCGAAATGACATTGATAAAGCGGGAATAGCGTGTATATTACCAGCAACTGCAAATAAATATGTACGGTCAATATAATGACTTTTCACATTAATTAAATAATAAAAAAACGACGATTTTTAAAAAACATAACCACCAATTCACATGTGACTCCTTATAAACGTCGACTTACCTGCTTTTTTATTACACATTCTATGCATGACCACTGCTGATAGCTATCTGCAATCATTTTATCATATTATGTATATGTAATAATCAAGAAACACACTTTACGAATAAACCTGCATACATAACAAATATAATACTTCAGACATTGCACTACAACCTTACTGCAACGCACGTTGCGCACCGGACTTCTTTTGCTCCGTTACCAGAGTCACCAACATTCGATGCTTGCATCAGACATTTCCCTCATTTGCGAATTTTGTCTGATAATTTCCCTATCGAGAATATTTTAACACGAAGAGATTGCTTTATTGCCACTGCTTTTCAAACCAGATGGGACTAAAATTAAATGGCACACATCAGCTGTTGGTCTGTGCTGATGATATGAATCTACTGGGTGCTAATATAGATAAGAAAATCACAGAAACTTTATCGACGTTAGTAAGGAGGTTGTTCTAGAAGTAAACGCTGAGAAAACTAAGTATATGTTGCTGTCTCTTCACTAGAATGCAAGGAAGAATGCTGACATAAAAGACAGCTAACAGATGTTTTGAAAATGTGGTGCAATTCAGATATTTGGGAACGACGATAACAAATCGAAAACTGATTCAGGAGTAAATTAAGAGGGGAATGAATTCAAGTAATACTTGCTACCATTTAGTCCAGAACTTTTTGTCTTCTCGTCTGCTGTCCAAAAAACATAAAAATTAAATATACAGAAATATAATTTTACCTATGGTTCAGTATGGGTGTGAAACTTGGTGTCTGACATTAAGGGAGGAACATAGACTGAGTGTGTCTGAGAACAGGGTGTTGAAGGGAATATTTGGACTGAAGAGAGCTGAAGTGACCGGAGATTGGAGAAAACTGCATAATGAGGAGCTTCATAAGTTGTACTCTTCTCCAAGCATAATTAGAATGATCAAGTCAAGGAGGATGAGGTGGGTAGGGCATGTAGCACGAATGGGGGAGATGAGGAAAGCATATAGGATATAGGTGGGAAAGCCAGAAGTAAAGAAACCACTGGGAACACCTAGGCATAGGTGGGTGGACAATATTAAAATGGATCTTAGAGATAGGAAGGAATGGTATGGATTGGATTGATCTGGCTCAGGATAGGGACCAATGGAGGGCTCTTGTGAACACGGTAATGAGCCTTCAGGTTCCATAAAATACTGGGAAATTCTTGAGTAGCTGAACAATTGGCGGCTTCTCAAGAAGAGCTCAGCTCCATGAGTGAGTGAGTATTCTAGAAACCAGAAAACACGATGTTTTGGAAACTGGATCTCTTTCTGTCCTCAGGAAAGTAAGTGTCTTTCCCCCCTCACCTGAGGATGGAGACAGATTCAGTTCCAGAAATGTCATGTTTTCTAGTTTCCAGAATACCAGACAATGGAAAAAGTCCAATAACCCAGTAATTCTGAGTTGTAGGTTTTTTCATGTGGGGCACCCTCTCTGACGAGAGGATAGGTATGTCATTTACAAATGCTGATGGTCCTCGTCAGTGCAGTCATTTTCAGGTCCGAGCCCCATGGGACTCATGACCGTATTTTGCTGTCTTAAATTCAAGACTCCCCCAACCTGCAAGTCCCCATATTCATACCTCCCAGGAACAGAGTGGCCCAGTTTTACCCTAGGATACTGGACTGCCTTTTCATCATTTCCTACAACTCACAGGGTTAGTGGACACATTCAAACATGCCTCCATGAGGGGAAACTGACTCCTCACTAACTTGTCCTTCTTAAATCTCAGCACAGATCGCACAGAAAACACCATTCCTCCGTTGCTGTTCACAGGCTGCTGCCTAGTAAAGACAGTTGTATAGTTGCTTATTTCATGGTCTTTGCCTAGCAATGGATCTACATGCTACAATATTATTATACAGTTGATTCCAGTTAATTGGGACACACTTGAGACTAGAATTTTTTTTCCCCAATTAAGTGGCTGCCCAGAATATACAAAGTTGCAAGTAAAAGGTTAAGAAGGTATACATACATAAGATAAAAATGAGCTTTCCATTCATTAACAAAAAACTGACTTTAGATGACCTAACGAATTTGCACAAACAAGAGGAAAATATTTACCCTAAAAACAAATTTGATTCATCTGCGTATTAAACAGGCATGTGCTCCTTAGCAGTGATGGAGGAGTCAGTTGAGGGCACCCTGCCATGTTCTCTTGAGTGACTGCAACTAAACTAAATCGGTATAGGTTTCTAGCAAAGATATGAGGCTGCCATAATTGCCTTCCTGAATAAAATAAAGTCACAGTCTGGCATTAAATTTCAAGCACCCTGGTTGTCACTTGTTCATGCTTAGTTGTGTCATCCTCATCGGTTTCCTGAAATTCTGATGTATTATGCTGTTTCGCACAAATCTGGCAATTCTTATTTGTGTGTCTTGAAAAAGTTTAGTGATTCTACTTACTACTTTATGACTGTATGTGAAGGTGACCCATTTTGCTTTTCCTTCACATGTACCAGATGTCCTGATAATCACTCTTGAAAGAATGAGTTACAGAATATGAACTCTGAATCTGCTGACTAGTATTTTCTTCATTTTTCTGTTATTTCATTTCTTAAGTACAAATATATGTAGTTTCTTAAGCATTTTATCCCTAAACATCTTCTCTCTCTCTAACCCATCCTCACTGCAACAGATTGATTTAGATACATTTAGTAAACTATTTTATACATAACAAAATGGTAGAAACATAAATTACAGCTTCTGAGGAGAATAATATTATTACCTCATGCTTATTTTTGTTAGCTGTCAAATAGAACAGACAGGACAGATCAATATTTCAGTAATACTGATATTTCTCATCACTGCAAGGAGCAGGACTTTGAAATCTGTGCAATTCAATTATTAAATAAAAAATCTAACATAATTATTATTAAGCTTGTACACAGCTCCTTCAGCAGATGTTAATGAATTTCTACAGATACTAGATGCAACTTTAGAATATCTGTACAGATCAAAATCTATTTTTTTTTCGCTTAGTGGGCGGTGGAGTCCAACTGGGCCCACTCAGTAAGGCGGCCATTGATTAGCCTACTGTAGCCTGCCCCGGGTGATTATGATGATGGAGAATTTGGTGGAATGAAGATTGGCAGGGGAAACTGAAGTACTCGGAGAAAACCTGCCTCAGCGCCACTTTGTCCACCACAAAATCAAAATCTAACTTTATAATCTGTGGAGACATAAACTATTTAAAAGAAAATATGCATAAAAACAAGTAAACTCTTTACTAAAGACATACAATTTGTCGCATACAATTTTGCAACAAGAATTCAAAATTCCTCGAGTACAGCCATTGATAATATTTTTATAGATAGAACAAGGTTAAGTTATTCTTGTATATCTCCTATAGTCTTGCAGTAAATAATATTACTACAAAAGTAAATTTAATACCCTTGAAACAGAGAACCAGAACATAAATAATGAAACCATTGCTCAATTTCAGCATCTATTGGTGATGAAAGGTGGGAACCTGTTTTAAAAAATAAGGATACATACTATATGTTTCATTCTTTTTTATATATTTTTCTACAAATATCTTTGAAGTTAGGATACCTATTAAAGGAAAAAGTCTAGGTAGAATAAAAAATGACTGGATTACACAAGGAATAAAAATATCTTGCTAACATAAAAAGATTGTGTATATATAGCAGGAGCAGTAATAATCCATACGAGAGCATATTACATTGTATTGCAAAATCCTGGGAAGAGTTATATAAGAGGCTCGAATGTAGCATTACTGTAAGTTTATAGCAAAATCGGATAATCAGATAAAAGCAACCTGGAATATAATTAAACATGAAACAGGGAAATTATATCTGACTGAAGATATATCATCTCTTCTTATAAATGATGAAGAAGCAAAGGACACAGAATTAATTGCTGATACCTTCAATACTTTTCTTTTGATAATTGCTGAAAATCTAACTCACATCACAAAGTGAGAGGTGATGCCATTTCATTTTTAAAAGAGGCATTTCCTAGAAAATTCGCTGGTATGAAGACACTTCCAACCAATGAAACTGAAATAAAATACATTCCCTCAAAACAATAAAGTCATCAAATAAAAAATTAAATTTTAAGTCTGCACATCTCTAATCAGTCACCCATTAACTCATTTGTAATAACTCACCGTTCAAAGGGCTCTTCCCCATTCATCTTAAGATTTCAGGAGTAAGACCACTGTACAAAAAAAAGGGGACAAAACTGGTATGTCAAACTACAGGCCAATTTCACTATAAACTACATTCTCTATATTACTTGAGAAAGTTATGGAGAATAGGTTAAGCCATTATTTGCAGAGAGAGATATTGGGTTTTTGGACTTTATCCATCGTCCTGGTTTTTAAGGTAACTATGAAAAACACGTTTCAGAAACTGGATCTGTTTCTGTTCTCAGGTGAGGGAAAACCTGAGGACGGAAACAGATCCAGTTTCCGAAACGTCGTGTTTTTCTTAGTTATCTTAAAAACCAGGACGATGGATAAAGTCCGAAAACCCAATATCTCTGTGTGTTATACACCATCGTCAGAATCGTATAGTAACTACATTATTTGCAGGTTAATAATATACTAGTCCCAGAACAGTTTGGCTCCAGGAAAGGACTATCCACCAACAATGCAGCATTTAAACTAATAGACAGTGTATTAAAATCTATTAATAAAAAATGTATGTTGGTGGAATATTCTGTGATTTGACAAAAGAATTTAACTGTGTACAGCAAGAAATTTTCTTAACTAAATTACTTTTTTTTTTTTTGGCATTCAAGGAGCAACAGCAAATTGGTTCATATCCTACGTAACAGAGAGAAAATGAAAGACTGAAATAAAATCATAAAAAATTTAAAACAAAGTAACTACACAACTTGGGGAAAGATAAACCATGGAGCTCCCCAGGGGTCAATTTTAGGGGCTTTGCATTTCCTAATCTATACATATGACCTCTCTCCTGCACTAAACATCTCATCAATACATATAATATTTGCTGCTGACACTAGTGTCATAGTTTCTATTAAAAATTTAGACCATATCTGCATACTATTGTCGCGTATTGGGCGTATATTGCGACAAATAACTTCACGCCTTATTTTATATAGCGAATTTTATTTCACATTCGCACTTACAGTCACCCAAATTACAGATTTACGGTTACTGCTATCTGCAGTATCACAATTAGTACACTCCAAATGCCAGAATACAACTGACTAGTTGCTGGCTAACTCGGAACTAACTCGGAGGTAGCTCGAGGACTCGCTCGGCGGTAGCTCCAGGACTGACTGACTCGTAGGTAGCTCCAGGACTAATTGACTGACTCAGTACAACTGACTGTGAATAGCCTTCGCTGCTCCTTATGTAGCCTTGATCGGACAATAAGGAAAACGGCCACGTAATAGGCACCCTTGTTGCCTGGCGCTGTGTTGCTAGTAACGCTAGCGGTTGTAACCGCTGTTACTACCATAACAATCCTGTTGCGTCAACATTACATTACCGTGCGGAGGAGGGGGAGGGGAGCGCTGACTCACCCGCCGCGTCACCGCTGGCCGGGGGGAGGGGGGTTCTCCCTTGCGCAACACGTCACACTGCTCCCTCCTTAAGGCTGTTCGTCCCGAATAGCCTAGCGGTGCATCCCCGTTCCTTTTCCGTCCCATAGCTGTGCTTGCGGTGTCTCCTGTTGTTTCGGTTACTCTTCTTGCAGCGACTATTCTTCGTCCGTTACATCCGCTCCCCCCTTAAGACAAAGCTCGTCTCGAGCGGTTTCCTTTCAGCTCGCCAGAAGATCCGATTG